TGAGGCTCGGAGGGGCTGGGTGTAAGTGCTTTGCCCCAAGCAGCACTGCTGGGAAGGGGCAGAGGTGGGCTAGGACCAGCTTCCCATACACATGCACTACACTCCCACTGCCAACGCTGTTTTGACATTATGCTGCCATAATTTTCAATTACCCACATTCCTGGAAAGGGCTGTTGACCAAACCATTAAGTGACTAGCCAATTAGTGTACTTCAGCCTGGCTCTGGGATGTATCTGGGATTTCTTTTTTCTTGGCAACAACATAGCATTCTAAAGAAATTGGTTCAGGCTGGTTTTTGGAATGCCCAGGCCAGATCCTGCCGAAGCGATCAGGGAGGGTGAGCAGCCTGGGACTCAAGCAGGCTGTTTCCTAGGGTGTAGCTGTCCCCATTTCTGGGCACAGATCTCCATCCCCCTGAGGCCAGGAGCCCCAGGCCCAGTATGGCTCAGCCCTGCCTGCCAGCTGGCGGGCCCAGGATTGGCAGGAGAGGCAGGGAGGGAAACTCACAGCCCGCCCCCTCCAGCCTCTCTCTGCCTGTTCTCCACCCGCCCTCCTGCCTGTCACCAGGCCTGGGAACCAAAGCCCCCTGTGAGTATTTCGTGTTCTCAAGAATGACAAGGTGAGGGCACCTGGACAGGGCAGCCCACTGACTACCAGCCCACCCCACCTCCTTCCAGCCCTTCCCCATCTCCTGAGGCTCCCGCGGGCCCAGGCAGTGCCATCCTGGCCACCTGGCCGCCGTGACTCTTCAGCTCTCTGCCTGGGTCTCTGTTTCTGTCTCTGCCTCTAGGTCACCCCCAAAGACTCCACGTCGGCCTCCTGACAGTGTCTGCTTCTTTCCCCTGGCCCCGCCTTACTGTAGTTTTCTTCCCTTTCACTAGAGACCCCAGCACCCGGGCATCGTCGCCGCAGCAGGGCCAAGCGGAGTCACACGGGGTCCCTCAAGCAGGCTGCAGCAGATGCTTGGGGAGCTTGTGATGAAGCAGGCAGTTAAAATGGGGAGCACTCGGAGCTCCTGCAGCGCCAGCAGCGGGACCACTGGGGGCTCGTGTTCTAGCGGCTAAGGCTGTTCGCCATCGCTCCTAATCCTGCCGTTCAGGCGCTGCGGAAGCTGCCCTGGTGCACTCTGCCAGCTGCCCCGTCTCCAGCCTGGCTATTCTGTGACCCAGCACCAGCCTTTTCTCACACACGCCCCCCACAAGCACACCTCCTGCATACACTGTACTCATCATACACTCCCCACAAACAACCCCCCGCACACACTATACTCATCACAGCCCCCCTACAACATACCGCCCACATACACTACCCCACATGCATCATATACCTCACACACGCCCCATACACACACAGCATACACCCACACACAAACCACACGTAGACCACACACACTATACACATCACACACACCACACCCCAACACACACCACACATATACCTTCACACACACACATGCACACACCCCTCTGGAAGGCCACATGGCATAAGGAAAAAGGTCAAGTTAGAAGACCGGGTTTGGGTCCCAGGCTGGCAGAACATTCTTAATCTCTCTTAGCCATAGTTTAACTCATGGGTTAAACAAGCACAATGGCCTGTCTCACGGTGGAGGCACTTGTACCAAAAACCCTGGGCCCTGTAAACAAATACCAGTTGCTGTCACGGCAGTGGCAATGCTGTTACCCCAAACCTTCCATAGTGCCCTCCTTTCTCAGCTCACTGACCCAGGTCCATTCCCTTAGTCTCTGCTGCAGGACCTACTGTCAATCATTTTCATCCAGGTTTTTTTAGGGCTATAATAATATGTGATAATTTGTTGTTTTAAAGATTTTTTAAAATTTATTTTTATTTTTGTGTAGAACTGGGATGTAGGCCAGAGGTGTTGGGGGTGAGAGGATTCAGCAGAGACAGAGTGGGGAGCAGAACAGGAAGATTGGCTGAAATACACTGAAGGGAGCAGCGGACAAGACAGAAGAGGTCTGCTGAGCCATGTGGGTCAGCTCCCTGGCTGGGGATTGAACTCATGCTGCAGTGGCTGCAGGTAGCTTCATAGTGCTGTGTCCTAACCTCTTGTGCCACCAGGGAGGCCCCTATTTTTTTCACTTTTTTTTTTCAAGATTTATTTATTTATTTATACAAGCACTGGGTACAGTCAGAAGCATGGGAGAGTAAGAGGATTCACCAGAGCCAGAGGGAGCAGAACAGGCAGACTGACGAAATACACTGCTGAGGGGAGCAGCAGGCATGGCAGGAGAGGTCTGTCGCGCCATGTGGGGCCCTCGCCAGCGGCCAGGAATCAAACCTGAGCTGCAGATGCTGCAGGAAGTTTCACAGCCCAGAGCTCAACCACTGTGCCACCAGGGGAGGCCCTATTTTTTTCACTTTTTAACAATAATCCCAATTGTTTGTTTTTGCCTTTTTTTTTTTTTTTTTTTTTTTTTTGCTGTAGGGGTAGAGTCTCCAAAAAGACATCTCTGTCATTGAACACTACCACCAATATTTTCTCCTATTTATCTTATTGTTGTGGATCTTATATCTAACTCTTTAATCCATCTAGAGTTTATTTTTGTGCATGGAGTTGTTAGATCTCCTTTCCCCATTGCATGGTTGTAACTCCTTTATAATGCACTAAATATTAATATGTGTGGATTTATTTCTGGGATTTCAATTCTGTTCCACTGATCCATGTGTCTACTTTTATTTCAATGGCATTTTATTTTAATTACTGTTGCTTTAGAGTATAAAGTCAGGTAGCATCTTGCCTCCAATTTCTCTCCTTTTTTCCCTCAGGATTTATTTGAGAACTTTCATAGTTCCATATAAATTTTAATATTTTTGTTTCATTTCTTTGAAGAATATCATTGGTGTTTTAATGGGGATATCATTAAATCTCTGTTGGTTTTGGCAGAGTAGTCATTTTGACTATATCCCCATCCATGAGCATGGTATGCCTTCCTATCTCTTTATGTCTTGTCCTTTATCTGTTAGTGGAATCTTATAGTTTTCATTGTATAAGTCCTTTGCCTCCTTGGTTAGATTGATTCCTACATATTTGATAATTTTAATTTGACTATGAATGAAGTTGTTTTCTGAATTTCTTTTTCTTTTCTTTCATTAATTGTATATAAAAATGCAGCAGTTTTTTATATGTTGATTTTGTAACCTGCATTTTGCTATAATAATTGCTTCTAAGATAACGTGTTAATTCTCTAAGAGAGTATTTGCACTTGACTGGGGGCATCAAAGTGGTGAGTGGGGTGGTGGAAATGTTGTGTCCCCATGCACTGGGTCAATGGAGACGGGGCATCTGAGAGGGAGCCAGAGGGCACTCTTGCTCCCCTTGAAATCAGGACCCCCCAAGAGGCTGCTTCTTTTATCTTGCTCAGGGAAGGCAAGGGGAAGGGAGAGCCTTGTTACCAGGTGGTTTCTATCAGCCCACAGAGGTACTGGGAAGCAGCAACATGTGAAGCTCAATGGGAGGCCCAAGCTGTCAGTTCTGGGGACCCCAGAGCAGGGGTGGGAGGGCCTGAACAGGTCTCCTACAACATGACCCTCTTTGAGTTCTTTCTAGCGGCCTGTGATGTGGGTCCCCTCTACCCTATCACATGTGGTCTGAGCTGAGAACAGGCAAGGGTCATGGTTAATGACATACCCAGCAGACCCTCCAGGAAATAAGAAAATAAAAAAATAATGAAATGCTCTCTGATAATGGATTTACTCAAAGTTGTGGCAAGATGAGCTGAGAGCAAAGGGTGTCAGAGGCAAGAACCTCCGAGAATAAGTGGCATCTCTCAGGGATCTCCCTCTTCTTCTTAATATACTAGAAACTCAGACAGGTCTTCTCACAACACCCCCATATCCCCATCCTCCCCTACCCCCATATACACACCTCCCCAGGCCCAGCTTCCAGATGAGGCCTGGAAGCTCACCAACCTTTCACCGACTGAGAAAATTCCTCCCAGCCTCTCCCTACCCTTGCTGCCTAATCTCTTTCCACTTGCATTGGCCTTAGATTGGTCCCAGAAAATACAAGACTTCTTCCTTTAATTCGAGAGCCTGACTGTCAGGCAGAGTGTAACAGAAAACCCTGGACAGGACCCAGACACTCCATTCACTCACTCACTCATTTACTTACGGGGGAAGAGGACCTGACCCACCTGCTGTGGGGTTCCTCAGGGGAGGTCACCACTCAGACCACATGGCCTCTCTGCCAGGCACAGAACCTGACATCTCTGCACCAAATCATCCAAATATCCCTGCTGTGAGCTTTAGCCCAGGCAGCTGTGCCTGCAAGGGCCTGGTCTCTTTTCCATTCCTATTTGAGGAGCAACTAGCTCAGGGCCTTTTGAGTTCTATTTCATGCACATGGCACAGTTCTCCTGTGATGCTCAAAACACTGTACCTGAGAGGGATGGAGACATCTTTGCATATGATTGTATATAAGGAATGGATTTCTTTTTAAGATTTATTTATTTATGCATACAAGAACTGGAGGACAGGCCAGAGGTGGGGGGGGGCATGAAAGGATTCACCAGACAGAGTGGGGAGCAGAACAGGCAGATTGAAATACACTGCTGAAGGGAGCAACGGGGAGACAGGAGAGGTCTGCTGCGCCATGTGGGTAGCTCCCTGGCCAGCCGGCCGGGGATCGAACTCATGCTGCAGTGGCTGGCGATAGCTTGATAGTGCTGTGTCTTTAACCTCTGCGATCTAAAGTTTAAGAAACGATATAAAATTGCTTGTAAATAAAGGAATGCCCAGCATGGTGTCTTGGGTTCTCCCATCTCCCCAGGAGGTGGGGATTGTTATTTGAGGAGACAGAGACACAGAAAACATCTTGCCTGCAGCTCACCGCTCCAATGACAGGGTTTCTCCACAGCTCCCTTCCCCTTTCTACCAGAGGGCAGGGAAATGTGTGGAGCACCCCAGGCCACCCAGGAATAGAGGCCAGGGAGGGGGCCCTTCACTGGAGGCTTCCTCTGACCTCCCCTTCACTCCTGCAGCCTGGGCCAGTCATTATGGGTCCTCTTCACCTCCTCTCTGGCCATCTCTCTGGTGTTTGCTGTCATCCCCTTCTGCCACAATGTGAAGGTGCTGGCCACTGTCATGGCACTGGCGGGCTTGGCCATGGGCTGCATCGACACGGTGGCCAACATGCAGTTGGTGAGGATCTACCAGAAGGACTCAGCTGTCTTCCTCCAGGTGAACCCCGCAGGGGAGGGTGGGGCCTGGTGCAGGGGCCCTGGGGAGCTCACTGGGCCCTGTCCATCCCTCCCAGCTCCTTCCCCAGGGCGGGGTGCCTTTGCCCTAGACCAATGTGGTGACTCACAGGAAGCGCCAGAGTCTCTGCTCAGTGAGACCACTCCTGACTGGACACCTCCGGGCAGACAGATACTCCAGACTTAGGCCTCCTCGTTTCTATGTTTTTCTCTCAAATTTTATTGATTTGCTGATCATTTACCTCCATCTCAGAAAAGGGTGAGGTGCCCTCCTGCACGGCAGGGTCCTCGTGGAAGTGGAGTAAACAGTAAACTGGGAAGTGGAGTTGGGAGAACTTGGTCCTCTGTCCTGACTCCTTCTTTCTCTTCCCAGTTACCCAGGTGTCCAGTCCAGCCCTTGCCTTTTTTGCCCCTTAGCTGGTGGCTGCTGACATGAAACAGCTTCCTGCCTGGAGTTAAGATTTGGGAAATATGTGAAAAGGAAGGAGGCGATTGGCCACTGGGTCCAGGCGGGCGAAGGGCATCGTTAGAGGAGCTTCCCTCCTCACCTTGCCTGCTCTCCACTAGGGTACCAGCCAGGGGCTCCCCAGGTGAGACATGGGGAGGGAGATGAAATCTGAACCAGCCTCCAGCCATCCTAATCCCCCCCCCACACAGGTTCTCCACTTCTTTGTGGGCTTTGGAGCTCTGCTGAGCCCCCTCATTGCTGATCCCTTCCTGTCTGAGACCAGCTGCGTGCCTGCCAATGGCACGGTCAGTGTCACCTCCGGCAGCCGCCTGTTCCACGCCTCCGGGGTCCTGGGCCCACACCACGCTGAGGCTCGGCCTCAGGCCAACCAGACGCTCCCCCCGACCCCCCCGCAGGGCGGGGCAGGGACCCGGGTGTCCTACGCCTTCTGGATCATGGCTGTGATTAATGTAAGTGTTGCTGGGGAAGGGCTGGTGGGGCCCCTGCACTCCCGTCCACACCAGCTCCCAGTGTGAGCCTCTGACTCTGAAAAGTAGGCTGGGGCAGGTTGCCAGGAGAACTAACCTGGGGATTCACCTGAGCAAAGAGGTCACAGATGACCTGTAAGGTCCTTCAATGCAATTGTCATTCTCAAGGGAGGTAAAGCAGAGAGCAGGGTCAGCACGATGGAAACCAAGGTCAGCTTTCAAGACCTCCGAGGCACCATGGGAAACCAGGTCTTCCCCAGAAGAAGTGGCCCTGGGACAAGCGATGGATATGTCTCGCCCCTGGGGTCCTTCCTCACGATGGGCTCCCTGGTGTAGGCGGGGCACAGACCAGATGACCTCCAGAGGTGGGAGCAGAGGAGAAAGAGCCTCCCTGGGGGGTCAGACAGCAAGGCCTCTGCACACCCAGCTTCCATCCCACCTGCCAGCACTGCGGCCTCCTGCTGCAAGTCCTATCTGGTGCTCTGCGCCATAAGAGGTGTTCATATTAGCTCAAGCTGGGGCCAGAGGAGGAGAGACCCCCACCCCCAGCCTGGGGCAGGACTGTGAGAACACCAGGCGCAACCCTGGCCTGGCTTGGCCCAGTTTGGGCCAGGGTTGGAGACATCAAAGGCGGCCAGTTTCCTGGCGGGTGGAGATGCCACACGCTCTCACCTGGACTTATAGCCTCTGCACCTGGTGGGCTCGTCGCCTGCCTGACCAGAAGTAAGGCTCTGTGCGCAGCACTGGAGGGGGCTCTTGACAGCACCCGTCCCACTGAGCAGCCAGGCAGGGAGCAGCATTCTGGCACTGGCTCGTGAGCTGGGGAGGGACCAGCAGGAGTCTGAGCCAGGCAGAACCCCGACTCCTAGCACAAACAGCCCATGTGTGGCCCCAAGGCCACCACTGTTTTCCTTTCTCCCCTTTATGACTTCCCGTCCTTTGTACCAGGCCTCACAGGCTCTCTCAGAACGCATCCCTCTCCCTCTGGCCCTTCTCGCACATCCTTTTACTTACTGGACACAGTGCAGCATTGGCTGTGCCCCCCCAAGGGGGTCTCCGCACACCCCACACTGTTGGTGCAATGTCAGGGTGGAGATTGGGGCCAGGGAGCTGGGTCCAGCTTAAGCCCACGTCTGCTCTCTCTTGCCCTGTGAGGTGCAGACTGCAGGCATTTGCTTGCTTCAGGATTTCCGGGCTTTTCCATTGGTTTGTGTCTGAAGATAAATAGTCACAGGAGAGAATAGGGTTGTGCATGTGCACATACACACACACACACACAAGCACAGGCTCAGTCTGCCTGGCATTGGCTTTTCAGGTGGAGCCTGCCCGGCCTCAGTGGGCTTCTCCTAAAGACCAGGTGGGTCCCTACTTCAGGCCGGCCCATCCCCTGTGAAGCCCTCTCACTGCCCAACTCCTGGGAAAGCCCCACCGGTCACGCCTCTTTTACAGCTGTTTCCTCCTGGCCTGGCCCAGGCACTCTGCCACCTGGCTGGTGTATATGGATTTCCTGTTTCCCCATCAGAGGGGAGGGAGGCCTTTGTCTCCCCTCAGATCCAGGACTCCTCATGGCAGGGACGTGTCTCTGCCCCTCGGGCCTCATTCGTGCTGTTGGACTGTGTCTCATTCAGTTTTGAGTGTGGAAGGAGGTTCCCATGGTGCCTGCAGAGAGCAGGTCAGCTCGGAGGGGTGTTCAGTAATGGGAAGTTCCCGTGCGAGCGGGCCTGCCTCAGGTGGTGGGGGGCTCCCCCAAGTAGCAACAAGCAGGGGCTGGCAGCTGCTGGCTTCCATCTCTACCTGCTTGGCCTCTCCCAGCCCAGAGGCAGCTTCTGCAGCTCTGGGCTTCCTCTCTGTCCTGCACAGGAGTTGGGATGGAGCTGCAGCAGGAAGGGCAGAGGTTAGACTTAAAGAGGTGCTTTCTTGCACCTTCAAGGGAAGTTAGACACGGGGTGGCACCTGAGGGAGGTGGCAGACACTTCTCCAGGCAACCTCAGAGGCAGGAGACATTTCTCATTGCCCTGGGGAGCTCAGGTAAAGCCTAAGCGACAATGTAAATAGCAGTGAACATAACATTGGACTTGGGTGTGTGTCTCGTCAGCAGACATTTTTTGATCAAAAGGGGTCCACTTTTTCCACTTTAGCCACATAGCCCCCAGCACAGCCTCTGCTCCCCTGGGGTGTGACATCACCCAGCCAGCTCCGAGGTGGGATGCTTCACCATCAGCCCTGGTGGAGCCAGCCCCGCCCCAGAGCCCCGGCTCCTTGGGTCCCTGCTTCCTACCCAGGTCTCTTTCAGTTGTCATAGGCTATGATTCAGTGATATATTTGAGCCTCAGTTGCCCCATCTGGAAACTGGGGGTGACAGTTCCTCCCAGTGTGTTTTATAGAGCTGTGATGAACCCAAGCAAAATGTCTTTGTAAAGCACCACGTGACCCACCAGCACGCAGGCATGTGAGGGCCGCTCAGGATAAGAACATCAGAAAGGAGCCAGCCTGTGCCAGCAGCACCCGGCATGGGCCTAGCTTTCATGTGACCAGGACCTGTTTTTTTCAGAGAAGCAGACGTGGTTAAGGGTGCACAGCAATGACAGCCTGTCCTGAGTCCAGGCCCCTGGCTATATTCACCGAGTGCTGCTCTCGGGTGGGGGTGCCCTTGGCAAAGGGCCCCTCAGGACTCTTAGACACAGGCGGAGGTATCAGAGTGGGCCAGGCCTGGGCAGGGGGAGCCTGGCCTTGGCTCTGCTGACCCCCACCCACCCCCAGCTCCCGGTGCCCATGGCTGTGCTGTTTCTGCTGTCCAAAGAGCGGCTGCTGACCTGCTGCACCCAGCGCAGGCCCCTGCTCCTGTCTGCAGATGAGCTCGCCCTGGAGACGCAGCCGCCGGAGAAGGAAGATGCATCCTCGCTGTCCTTGCGCTTTCAGCCACACCCAGGTGGGGCTCTAATGAACGTTCACACGCACAGCCCCCCAGCGAGACCTGCCGGGGCATCCCTCCCACGGAGGCTGAATGTGGAGCAGCGGTGACAGTGGTTGGAAGCCCCTGCCGTCGGTGGTCTCTGAGGCAGGCCCTGGAGCAGCCTGGCTGAGGGGATGAGGAAGTGGGGCTTCTGCCTAACCCCTCCAGGGAGACCCTGGGCAACTCCCTTAACCTCTTCCACCAGACTGAGGTTTCTAAGAGATGGTTGAAAGCTAGACAAAGTGGGGGGTGGCAAGCGGTCCCCCAATCTGCCAGCACTCTCCTGACTGCCAGCCTCTTCCCCGGTGTGCAGAGGCGAGAAGCCGAGCCTCACCCTGATCTTGTGCCTCCTACAGGGCATGAGGACCTTTTCAGCTGTTGCCAGAGGAAGAACTTGAGGGGAGCCCCTTGTTCCTTCTTCGCCATCCATGTCACGGCCGCCCTGGTCCTGTTCATGACGGACGGAATGACGGTGAGCCTGCCCTTAGAGGGTGCCCCTTACTGGGGGGCCCTGATCCCATGACACGCAAGTCTGCAGATAGCCAGAAAAAGAGGGACATCAAGACTTCCAGACACCACAACTGTAGTACAGTCGAGTCAAAAGTTTTAACTGGAGGCAGGCTCTGGGGAAGACTGTCTCGGAATCGGCCGCAGCTCCTGGCTACTTGGTCTTCTGTCCCAGCTAATTCTTTTCATTTTTGTCAGCTCTATGGATAGGGGCCTATTTGACTTGTTAGAAGTGCAGGCCACCCACAATTTTTTAAAGCAGCCGCGCCCTGTTCCCCCAGAGGCTGTGCTATGTGAACTCGGGGCTCTCTGCTTCCTGGCATGCTCTGCACACCTGGCTCCTCAGCACGTGGTAAACAGGCCACAGGCAGTGTGTGGGCCCAGCTGTCACTCACCTGGTGACCTCTGTCACACTGCTTAGTACCTGCTTCCAGAAATACCCAGGGATTAGAATGGCTGATTGATTAACTGATTGCCATGTGAGGGACCCGCCAGAGAGAAGGCCTTAAAACCTGAATGACCCATTGGAAAGTGCTCGTGACCTTGGGCAGGTCACTTCTCTGCCCCTTCATCTGTAAAATGAGATGCTTGTGCACACCTTTTTGTAACTGCTGCTCCCTCCTGCAAACACCTGTGGTAACCTCAGACTCGTAGGCGGCAGCAGGACCCCCTGTGCAGACCTAGAGACTCCTCCCTGGACCCCTGTGGCTCTGCACTGTCTAAGCCATGGCACCCCAGGATCTGCATTCTGCTCAGGTCTGCACAGCCGGGTGGGGTGTGTGTGTGTGTGTGTCTGGCTCCAGTCTGCCCTTCTTGAGCTTCTAGGCAGGGTCAGCGCTCCCTCGGCCTCACCACACGCTGCCCAGCCTCGCCTCCTTTGTCAGGTTACCTGTGGTTGCCTAGGACTATACTCAGCAGGGCCTGTCTCTCCACAGGGGGCCTATTCCGCCTTTGTGTATAGCTATGCTGTGGAGAAGCCACTCTCTGTGGGACACAAGGTGGCCGGTTACCTCCCCAGCCTCTTCTGGGGCTTCATCACCCTGGGCCGGCTCATCTCCATCCCCATCTCCTCCAGGGTGAAGCCAGCCACCATGGTTTTCGTTAATGTGGTAAGTGGCCTCCTTTTTCCTCTTGGAGACCCAGGAGAACTTGTCTCCTTCTGGTCCTACCACTGCCCCAGGACATTTGCTTGGCACTGGACTCTGCCAGCAGGGAGGAGAGGGCAGACATACTGGTGGGGTGGGTTGGAATCCTGGAGCTAGGCCTACTTGTGTGACCTTGTAAAAGTCCCTTCCCTCTTGGGACCCCTATTTCTGTTTTTTTTTTAAAGATTTATTTATTTATGCATACAAGAACTGGGGTACAGGTCAGAGGTGTGTGGGGGGGTGAAAGAATTCACCAGAGACAGAGTGGGGCACAGGACAGGCAGATTGACTGAAATACACTGCTGAGGGGAGCAGCGGGCGAGACAGGAGAGGTCTGCTGCGCCATGTGGGTTGCTCCCTGGCCAGCCGGGGATCAAACTCGTGCTGCAGAGGCTTCACAGTGCTATGTTTAACCCCTTGCACCACCAGGGAGGCCCTGAGCCCCTGGTCTTGTGCCCATAAAAGAAGGGAATGTGGGAGGTGATTAGTTTTGGGGTGTCAGGGAGCCAGGTGAGAGCCTGCCACAGGTGTGAGGAAGCAGGTACGGGCCTTGGTCCTCCCTTGTTCACCTTGGTCAGAGCTGGTCAGAGCCCTATGGCCTTGGAGATGCCCTTGGATTTGATCTTTAAGAAAGAAATTTCTGCTTAGTGATAAAGAAGGTAGGTTTGGTAGAAGGCAGCCTTGAGGTTGAGGGTAAGAAGCAGATGGGAAGCGGAGGCGTGAGTTGCAAATATTTCTGAGTTGAAAGGAGGAGTTTATTTGATAGGAATTTGTAGGCAGAAGAAAGACAGAAGGGATGAGGCCCATGAGGAGGGGGGTCTGTGAAAATGCTGCTGTCAGAGAGTCACTGGGAGAAGAGGGGGGAGAGGATGAGGAGCAGCTGGTGGAGCGTGCTAAGGACAGTGGGTAGGCCCTGAGCTGTGGACCTGAGATGACTGGTACAGAGCAAGAAGAAGACCCACGGTCAGGTAACTAGGGCCACGGCACTGCTGGTCACCAGGCCCTGCAGGACATGAGCTCAGCTGTTCAGAGAGAGGAGCAGGGTGGACCTCTGGGCCTGAGAGAAGAAAGTCCCAAACACCTACATGAGTGAGGGTCTGGCCTTAAGACTCACCCTGAGTGTGGGTTTTATTTATTTATTTATTTATTTGAGATTTATTTTATTTATACAAGAGTTGGGGTACAGGCTAGATGCGCGGGAGGGTAAGAGGATTCACCAGAGACAGAGTGGGGAACAGAACAGGCAGACTGACAAAATACACCGCTGAGGGGAGCAGCGGGCGAGACAGGAGGGGTCTGCTCGCCATGTGGGTTGCTCTGAGGCTGGCCAGGATCAAACCAGCACTGCAGAGGCTGTGGACAGCTTCACAGTGCTGTGCTCAACCACCTGCGCCACCAGGGAGGCCCCTGAGTGTGGAATTTAAACAGGGAAGTTGGGGGTCTCCCTAGTGGTACAAGGGGTTAAGATGCAACCTATGAAGCTATCCGCAGCCACTGCAGCACAAGTGCCATCCCCTCCTGCTGCTCCCCTCAGTAGTGTATTTCAGTCAATTTGCCTGTTTTGTTCCCCACTCTGTTTCTGGTGAATCCTCCTATCCCTGCCCCCACACCTCTGGCCTGTACCCCAGTACTTATATGCTTAAATAAATAAGTCTTTAAAAAAAAATAAACAGGAAAGTCGGATTCCCAGGCCCAACCCAGGCTTGTGAGTGCCCAATGGAGAGGCCCAGCAGCTAACCCCCAGGGGATCAGGCCATCAAGCTAGTTGGGGGGAACAAATTGTCCCACAGCCAGTGGTTCCTAAATGGAGAGGCTTTTGGAAAATCCGGATTCCTGGGCCCTTAGCACAGAGACTGACTCGGGAGCTGTGCAGAGGAGCATGGCGTCCTTTCAAAACTGTTCAGGGGCTTTGGGTGAGCACCCTACTGGCTCTGCAGCTGAACAGCCCAGCACAAGCTCCATGACACTGTGGTTGCCAAGTGACTGCCTCGTGTTCAAGGCTGCTACCTCCAGGGGTGCCTGTCATTTTAAATCAGCTGTCCCTGTCCACCACCCACTCCTGCATCCATCAGCACTTACTGGCTAATGAAGATGCACTTTGTGCAGGGCCTCTGGCAACTGCAGGAGAGAGGGAGAGCATGGCCTGGCACGGAGAGAGGTCAGATCAGGCTGAGGAGACAGGCGGCCGCACAAATGGAAAGGGAGTCACTAATTCACCTCAGCCTTCTTTCACTAAGTCTAAAACAGAGCCCCGGGCATTTTTAAAACTTCCGCAAGTTTTGATCCTACTTCTTCCCCCTTGCCTGCTGGATGTCTCTGGGATATTGTTGCCTGTTGATTTGAATTTTTACTTTATTATGATTACTTTTATTTTTCTCCCCTGATCCCTTACTTGGATCTTCTACATTCCTCCTATAAGTGAAACCGTCCGGTATTTTTATTTTTCTTTCGGATTTATTTCTCTGAGCACGGTCTCTTCCAGCTCCATCCATACTTCTGCGAATGATGAGTTTATCTTTTTTGATTCCTGAGTAATATTCCATTGTGTATATGTACCACATTTTCTTGATCCAGTCATCTATTTTGGGGCATTTGTGTTGTTTCCATGGGTTACCTATTGTAAATAGTGCTGCAAGAGGTGGGACGAGCACAAGGGACTATGGTGATGGTGCACGGCTGAATTGGTGTTGGGAATGTCGCAGGGACTATACCTGAGATGAGAAAGCAAACATTGTACAAAAATGAAGAATGATGTAAAAAAACATAATCAAAAAAACTTTTGCAAGTCTAGGTAGAGATTCAGGGCCTCTTTGAGGCTTTTGCCTGGAAGTAAATGTGGTCTGTAAGTGGGGCTGAGGTTGGGGAGCAGGAGCCAGTGAGCAGAAGCAGCATCTTCAAAGTCTTGGTGTCCGTTCTGCCTCAGGCTGGTGAGCTGAGAGCTAACTCTGACGGTGCCAGCCTTGGGAGGAGTGCAGTGCCCCGCGTCTGGCACTGCTGACTGAGAGGCCCAGGGTAGGTGGCAGCATCAGGTGGGGAACAGATGAGGGTAGGGAAGCAGACCTGGACTAGATCCAGTAGGTTTTGTATTTTATTCTGAGAGGCTCAGGTTCGGGGTTTTCTTTGACGTGGGTTGACACCTTTCGGTTCTAAGCAGGGCATGCAGTGCCATAGGCCTTGCGGTTGAGTGGTCAGCATGGATTTGGAGAGATGCACAGACACCAGCAGTTTTGGGGTAGAATGGACAGGACATGCCCTTGGAGTCCCATGAAGTAGGTGAGGGAAGGAGGAACCAAGGGCTTTTAGGAACAGGGGTGAGCCCCTGGCTGGATGGAGACTCTGGTAACCGTGGGAAAGGTCAGTGTGGAGAAGAAGAAGGAGAGTTCTGTTTTGGCTGCATCACGAGCCACCCAGAGACATTTAGCATGTAAGTCTGAACACGGGTCATGGCTGTAGGGCGGGACTGGAGAGTCCAGCATAGAGAGTCGAGACCATGGGGCTGGACAAAGGGGTGCAGATAAAGAGGCAGAATCAAGCCCTGCCCAAGCCAGCGCTTAGACATCAAACAGGGGACCAAGAAGGAGCGGGTGGAACTGTGGACGCTTGAGGATGGGGCACCAGTGTCCTTGGTGTCTTTCAGGAGAAATTCTTGAAGTCCCAGAATGAAGCCCGCAACACAACCTGCAACGGGGTTCCCCGGCAGCGTCGGGGCCACACACTGGGGGCAGCGGGCTTTCAGAAAGGGAGTTGCCCTGAGCCTGAGCAGTGAGCAGTGGCTGGGTGGAGAGGGGTCCTCCAGATTCCAGACTGATTGGAACTGCCCCTCTCCCACTCTTTTCCAGCCTGGGGGGAACTGTAGTGAAAAGACTCTCCCCAGGCCTTCCAGACCTGCCAGAATTTACCTTGTCCTTGAAGCAAAGCAACAGCCCAGCTGGACTGCAGGATGGGCCCTGCAGCTGTGCTCCCCCGTGGTGGGGGAGAGCCCTTTTCGATCCCTGTAGGACCACTTTCCATGCCAAAGAAATGCATTCCATGTGACCAAAGATGAGTCCATTGCATGGTCACCTGGAAGAGAACTTCCATGTCGTCCCCACTGTGGAGAGGCTGAGTCTCCTCCAGCCACTGTTTTGTGGGCAAACCCCTCGGGGCAACCAGTCTCTAAGGAAGGACTCTGTGGCCTGATGCACGAGTCCCATACCCCAGGCCTTGCAGCAGATGCTGGGGTGCATGTGAAGGAGAATGACAGGCAAGGAGCTAACAGTTTGCGGTCACTGGCTTTACTTTTCCAGTGGGAGCGAGGCCCCCAGACCCCCCGAGAGTATGGAGTTGTGTCCCTCCTGCTTGCTCAGGTTCCCCTAGGTGAGGGGAACGGGTGTGGCTGGAGTGGAAGTGATGTTCCACACTTCCCGTGATTGCATGCTGTTTCTTTCTAGAAACAGATGAACTCACCAACAGATTTTTACCTCAAAGCTATGGTTTCTACAGATCTGTATCCCCCGAGATATTAAGAGAAGCTCACACACAAACACTGGAATTAACATTTGCCTCAATGTTCACCCCTTAGAGCCCCTTCCCTGCACCCATTTGCCCTTCACTCTGCGGTGTGGCTTTTACAGCTGCCCCATTTTGCAAATTAGGAAGTTCAGAACCAGAGAGATCACCCACCTCAAGGCCTGAGAGCAGGCCCTACAGGGGATCTTGTGCCCCCATGTCTTGTGCTGCCTGGGTTTCTTTCCTGCATGTTTTTTTAAAAAATTTATTTATGCATACAAGAACTGGGGTACAGAGGTGCAAGGGGTGAGAGGATTCACCGGAGACAGAGCGGGGAGCAGAACAGGCAGATCTACTGAAATACACTGCTGAGGGGAGCAGCGGGTGAAACAGGAGAGTCTGCTGCGCCATGTGGGTTGCTCCCTGGCTGGCTGAGGATCAAACTCGTTCTGCAGAGGCTGTGGACAGCTTCACAGCGCTGTGCTTAACTCCTTGCGCCACCAGGGAAGCCCCTTTCCTGCACATTTTGCGTACAAATTATTCAACACTGACTTAAAAACATTTACAAAGAACTTAGAAAAAGTTACTTTAATAAACACATGCCTGTGTGACCCGGACCCTCACTGACCAGAAAGATGTGTGACCCTCAGCCCAGCGCAGGCATCTCCAGCCTCGGGCATCTGAGCGGAATCTGAGAAGCTGGTGGCCATCCCCACTGGCCCCTCCTTGGGAGGTCTCCCTGGGTTCCCAGGCAGAGGAGGGGGCCTCGCAGGCACTGCCATTGCTTTCCTGCCACCCCACTTCCTCTGTGGACTCAGGGCTTGTGAATTCTCACTTCCCGGAGCCCAGGACCCCAGCCCTGGCGGCCCGGCAGGGAACTGGTGCAGACGCCTGGGAGGTGCAGTTTCCACACGCTCCACAGGGCAGCGCCCTCGCCACAGCGCTGCTCGTGGGGCCAGAGGCACCTTCCCAGGCAGGAGGCTTGAGGTTCTCCCAATTACTGCACTTGATCTTAGCAAAAGGTCGAGAAGCAATTTCTGCCAATTTCTAACTGCCTCGTCCCTGCTGCGACAGGTTGGTGTGGTGGTGACCTTCTTACTGCTGCTGGTTTTCTCCTACAACGTTATCTTCCTGTTTGTGGGGACAGCCAGCCTGGGCCTGTTCCTCAGCAGCACCTTCCCCAGCATGCTGGCCTACACGGAGGACATCCTGCAGTACAAAGGTGAGTGCGCAGGGCGGGCCCTCTGGCCGGGGCCCCTTCCCCTCTGGGGTCCCCTCCCTCCTCAAGCGAGTGCTCTCCCCCTCCCCCCTGCTGGTGGGAGCAGGTGCAGACTGGGTGTCCCACTGCGGGCGCCCCCCAACACGGTACCTGTGTCCTGTGATTTCAGCTCACAGAGAGCAGCAAGCTTCTCTGTCCCATCTTCTTTTTCCCCTAGTAATGTCCCCTGGCCCACAGCTGGCATTTTGTATTACGTGCATGTGCTGGAAATTCTAAGTTCAAAGAAAAGCAGAGCTGTGTGAGAAGTGGCACAGCAGAGGCCCTTGATAGCAGCAGTAACAGTACCTACTTGCTTTGTTGTTGTTGTGAAAGTTGTTGTGGAAGTTTGTTGTTGTTGTGGAGCACAGAGGGTTAGAACATGACTCCACACCTTATTTGGGCTTCTAGACGGCTTCTTAGATGCCAGAAACTAATTCTCTCAGCCAACCTCCATTCCTTTCCTGTAGCCTCCCAAGCGCATACAGCAAAGATCTTTCTTTAATAGGTTAATTAAAAATAATTGTGTTTTGAACATGCAAAGTTACCCTTCGAAGTAACTAGAGCTGCCCTGGAGTGTTGGAAAGCCAGCCCTGGAGGTGGGGGGAGCTGGGGGGAAGGGGGTCAGAACATGTGGCTCTCTACACCCAACGCAGCTGTCCCGGGGGAGACCGGAGGCCCGGACCCTTGAAATCTAAGGGTAATAACCAGCACTTGAGCGAGTGGGTCAAGTAGTGAAGTGTGTCCCCCAGAGTTTTAAGTTAAAAGGTAGCAGTAAGTGGTATCGGTTGATGCTGCCGCCAGAGGTCACTGAAATCTGTCATCGTCCTCATCTTGCTGCTCCTGCTCCTAGTTCAGGCCTTTGTTGTCACACAGCCTGCTGAGAAAACGTGATGGTGCCCGCTCTTCCCAGTCCGAGTCCCTCCGACCCGGCCTTGCCGGTCTGGGCTTGTCTCTTGGCCTTCAGGTTTGCCTCAGTCCGCGGTTCCCACGCAGGATCCCCCGGAGTCATCTGCGGCACGTGGACACCCAGTGCCGGGCTGGGCCCCGCAGGCTGCCGCCGACCCAAGCCAGGCTGGGGCCCCACCTGCACCCCTGCAGGGCGGACTCTGACACCCATCACCTCACTTGCTCTCACCTCCCTCTTTCCCAGCTCTCCCTCCTCCTTCCCCTTAGAGCCTGACTTTGAGCCGGGCTGAATTAGCTCTTCTCTGAGGGCACCAGAACTGCCCTGCACCTCCTTACCTGGGCGCATGGAGAGGCTGTGCCGGAACGCCCCCTCCCGGAAGCTTCTGGGATTTCCACTGGAAAGGTGTACCCCTGTCTTTGTACCTGCTAGACCCGCTCAAGCCTTCTGTACCTGCGCCACCTGTGGCCCCAGCAGAGACCAGGGCAGGAGCAGGTGGGGGCTGTGTGGCACCTGTGATTCAGTTTCCTTCCCTCTCTCAGCCTCAGTTTTCTCGTCTGCTCAGTGGAGGCACAGATACTACCCGCCTCCCCGGGCGGTTTTGTGTGTTAGAGAAAATGCCTGGGCGGAACGGCGGGCTCAGGTGCTGATACCTGGCAGGGGCACCCTCAGGGCTGAGCCGAGCACACACGTTATGAGAGGCATTTGAAGGAACACGGGGGTGGACAGTGGGTGCTACTGGAATCACAGAAGGGAGTGACCAGTGTTGAAACAGTAGCTTCATGGAGGAGATGGGACGTGAGCTGGACTTGGGAAGGCAGAAGGAACAAGGAAAGGCATTCCTGGGAAGGGTGGGGCAGGGACAGGCAGAGGCCCAGGGGCAGGTACAAACATAAGGGAGCTGAAAGAGGAACTATCTTGAAGCCCAGAAGAGGATGATCCGCTGTTTATTAAAAAAAAAGCACATGCAGGCCACTGTGCCAATGCAAGCCGCAGACCTGCCAGGGGAAGAACACTCGGGGCAGTCCTCTCTCCTGCGCTTGCAGCCTCACGGGGAAGGCTGCCTGGTAAACAGACAGTGGGGTGTGCGAGAGTGGGGTGCAGGGGCTGACAGAGCACACACAAACAGCTCATCCGGGTTGGGGGTTGGGGGAGAAGATGGCTGCAGGAAATCTAAACTGGGACTTAAACAATGAGTTTGCAGACAAGACTGGAGGAGGAATGTTCAGGAGGAAGAGAAAGTGGTGGTGGAGGGCGAACAGGGTCAGGAGGCTGGAGAGGTCAGATCCTGGCTGGAGGGGGAGGCTTGAGCAGCGCAGCGTGTGAGTGAGGAGACTGAGTCTCCACAGGGACAGATTATAAAGGACCCGCAAACCACATGAAAGCACTAGGGCTTTCTCGTGAATGCAGCGGTGAAGGGTGTGAGCAGAAAACTGGCCGGTTTCTGGGGATTTCCTAGTGCCGGCAGCGCACCAAGCACTTAACTTGTGCTGCACCTGAGCTGCCTGCACAGGGAGGTATGTTGGTGGCTGTTTTGCAGAAGGAAACCAAGACCTGAAGCCAGCAGAGAGCCAAGCTCCCCCAGCTATAGGTGACAGCGCTGGGAACCCATGTCTGAGGCTGGAGAGGCCAGATCTTGGCTGGAGGGGCAGGCAGTGAGCCTCAGTGGCTCCCCCACTGGGAGCCACGCCCATCAGAGCCCAGCTGGCTGGTGCAGCCCCAGGGCCTGGCCAGGGATTGGCCTCGGGAATCTTTCTGGAAAGGTGAAGGGAGTCAGAGTAGGACAGGCTCTGAGTGCCATGCCAAGGGACTGGGAATTTACCTTGAAGACGGTCCTGAACAATCAAAGGTTTCAGTCAGGAAACTGTAATGATGGGGATCTTGCATTACCGGAACCAAGTTAGGGCAAGGGCTGAGAAATCGTGGTCTAAAGGGGAGCTTGTAGGCAGCCATGCCACTTTTCAGAGGCTTTCTGGAAACCACCCAGACCATGCCAGCTAACTTCTCACTCCATAACTTGCCATCACTAAACCAAGTCCTTCTTTTTTGGTCAGGCTGTGCCACCACCGTGCTGGTGACGGGGGCAGGCATCGGGGAGATGACCCTGCAGATGCTGGTCGGCTCGGTATGTGGGGACTCTGAAGGGGGGAGAGGGAGGGAGTAGTCAAGAAGCCCTCCAAGAGGGTGAGAGGGGCAACCAGCCACCTTCTGAACCCAAGTGTCCCTTCCCTGAGTGGCCACAGAGCAACCAGGGCCTGCCCTGTCTGTGTGACCTGCTTCTGTTTGCGAGCCGGCCTGAAAAGCTGAGCCTCCCCTGTGGGACATGAAGGTGAAGGGATGTGCAGTCAAGTCCAAAGCAAACACCAGCATGTCTGGGAGCAGGGCCAGAGGGGCCCGTGGGAATGTTGTTCAGGTCCAGAGCCCGGGATGGGCCTGAAGCTACAGAGTTCTTTTCTCATCGCATCCCAGCACTGCCATCACTGCACCACCCTGGGCCACCCTGCCCAGGACAGCTTTCCTGTCCAACCCCTGCCCTGAGCTAGGGCCACGTCTGCGTGTTCTCTTCCAATACACCCAGCCATCCATTCACCAGAAAATCTAAATATCGTGCCTACTCCACTCTCCGAAGACTGCAACAGTTTAGTCACTCCCCTTCTCTCAAGGACACCAGAGCCCATACATTCAGCGACTTGCTCGCAGGCACACTTCAGCGATGCTCAAACCTCAAACTTGCATTCTCCCCAGCCTCCCGAATTATTACTTGATTTTCCTTTCTTCTTCTTTGGTCCTGCCTGACAGGGAGAAGAGCTCCCTCTTATGATCCTGTCATCATCAAAATGCTGTGATGTCTGACTTTGCTCTGGTGTGAGCTAGTGCAGGGGAGAGGTGGAGGGGCACTAGGAAAACGGGGCTGCCAGGGCGGCCACCACTGGCTGTTCCATATGCTATTTTGGCATATGTTTGACATTTTACGTAATGAAAGATTTCCAAAAAAAAAAAAAAAAAATATTCTCTGCAAAGTTAGGCCTTGCGGGTAGAGAAATACTTAGTAGGATTGGGGTTTAATGAAGATATGGAAATTTTTCAGAAGGTTCCAGACACAGAGCTCAGAGGGACCAGGGGCGGTTCATCAGGCCAGGTCCTGCCTCAGAGCCGGTTTCTGCCTCGTCCAGAAACAACCTTGAAATGAGGCCAAGACTCCCTCCCCCCATGTCTCCCTTTTGGTGTGATGGGCCTGAACCTGACTGAAAAACCTGCCTGGGGCCCTGAAGGTTGCTTCCTCAAGAGCCTCTTCCCCGGGAGCCTCTGATGGCCTGTGTCTGTTCTCCCCTTTGGCAGGTATTCCAGGCTCGGGGCGGCTATAGTTTCCTGGTCTGCGGTGTGATCTTTGGTTGCTTGGCTTTTACCTTTTATATCTTGCTCCTGTTTTTCCACAGGATGCACCCTGGACTCTCATCAGGTAAGGAAAAATATCTGTTTCTACACAAGAGGAAGAAAATAAGAGGGGACTGGGGGTGTGGGAGACGGTGTAGGTCCTAGCATGCCACGAATGCTATTCTGTTCCAAATAAATGCAAGGAAATGTTTATTTTTCTACAGCTTCCTTTCGCCCTCTTCCTGGTGGCCATGTGATTGTCTGTGCTGGGCTCTTGGGGCAAGAGGGATAAGCTGACTCATGGCTTCTCCACCGGGAGAGGGGCATGGGCTGTGAACTTGGCTTCCTGCATCCCACCATGCTGTGGAGCTGTGAGCCAAGAATCTTTCCAGCCTGTTGGGCACTGAAGTCAGAGACCGCCTCCTTGGCTGGAACTCAGCCCAGTGGCCTAACCTCTCTTTACAGTTTAGGATTTTGACTCTAATCCAAATCTCCTTTTCAAAAAGGTCCCGCAGGCCAAGTGGCAAAGAAAAGCTCCTTGGGAGCAGAGAGACCCTAGGCAGGGGGAGTCCCAAAGCTGTTCCCACAGCCTGCACCTGCCCTTCCTTCCAGGGCTCTCTGAGTGCCCAGCAGTTAACTCAGCTGTGCACGTGGACAATCCTAGGAGACAGTGCCCTCTCCATGAAAAGCAACATAATCACACAAGGACTGCAGCAGTAGAAACCACGGTCCTTTATCTCTCCTACATAGACACGTGCCCCTGATAAACTCTATTTATTTATTTATTTAAAAAATTTATTTATCTATGCATATAAGAACTGGGGTACAGGCCTGAGGTGCGGAGTGTGAAAGCATTCACCAGAGACAGAATGGGGAACAGAACAGGCAGACTGATTTAAATACACTGCTGAGGGGAGCAGCCGGTGAGACAGGAGAGGTCTGCTGTGCCATATGGGTAGCTCCCTGGCCAGGCAGGGATGGAACTCATGCTGCAGAAGCAGCTTCACAGTGCTGTGCTTAACCCTTGAGCCACCAGGGAGGCCCTAAACACTCAGCTTATAGGTCCAAAGAACGATGGAGTCCCCAAAGAGTGCTGCCTAGCACCCCGCTTCCAAGGCAACAGGTCCAGTGCCCTTTGTCCCAGCACTTAGAACAGAGTCTCCGCTAAGGCCACACGTCCCTGAGTCCCTAAGCTCTGGACACGAGTCTCGACAGACACCCTGCACTTTTAGAACTGGTAGATCTGACTTTTCTTTGTTCCCTAATGAGCAGACACCCAGGAGGCCCGGGAGGCAATCAGCGTGAGTAATCACAGGAACCACCCCAAGCTGCTGAAACATGCTACTATTTTGCCTTTTGTAGTTCCTACCCAAGACAAGCCAGGTGGTGTGGAAGGCTCAGAGTGCTACCAGAGGTAAAACTGGGGGAAGGAGGCAAGCCAAGACGTCCAGCCTCTGGAGCAGCAACACAGACCAGAGTGTTGAAGAAAGCTGGGGACGGAGTGCACGCAGTCTCTTCATGCCTTGGCTCAGATAGTCTCCGCTCATAGCTGGTTGGGTAGAAGACATTACATTGATTTCGGGGACTGGGTCCTCCCCAGGCAAATCAGTAGAAGTTTACCTGGTTCTTCAAGTTATCTCCAGTCTTCCATGGATCAGACTTTTGTGAAGAGCGGTCCAGTGCCCAGGCCAGCGGGCAGGCAGCACACATGTCTGCTCCCTCCTGCATGGCCCACACCCTGGGTTTGGAGATCACTCTTAATTGAAGTTTGAAAAATGGGTTGAAATTATAAAGCTTGATGATGATTCACTACACAAAGATATATTTTAAATTAATCAAAACAAACCCCACACTATTTCCTGGCATGCTGAAAGGATTTATATACTTTTTACCTATTAATAATCCAAAGTCTCTCCAGTTCCTACTGCTGATATTTGTTCCTCTGTAAAACATCAGAAGGAAAAGCTGGATCGTGTTATCTGCGGTACACTAATTCAGTGGTATGCTGAGCTAGCCCCGACCAGTTTATAAAAGCTGATTCTTCAATTTTCATTTTGAGAGTTGGTTGTTAAATGCAGCCATAATTAAAATTTATATTTTAGAAACATAATTAAATTACATTAAAACAAAACTAATAAATCCTCAAAATGCATCACTTCCCAATCTTTTTATATCTCTGCTTTTGAGGCTATTTGGTCTATCCTACTGCATGGGCAGTGCAGTAAGGGGGGCTTCTGTGCCTCTCCTCCTGGCCCCACCCTCGGGGAGAAGGTGGGGCCTGAGATCAGCCAGGGTGGGAGCATTTACACCACAGAAAGTGACAACGCTGCACACCATGACATCCCCCTTGCCCCCCCACCCCAGCCGGTGAGGGGCATTCACCAGCACAGTGCGGCTAGTGATAAATGCTCACTGGCTCAGAAGATGCCTGGGAGGATGGGACGGATGTTCTATTTTTCTTTACTGACATTAACTAGCTTAGAAAAGGTCATAGAAATGGCACTAAGAATTTTTGAAAAGTGGCTCATTTAAGTTTTACATCTTCTTAAAGATTTATTTTTATTTATTTATTTATGCACATAAGAACTGGGGTGCCAGCCAGCAGTGGTGGGGGGTGGGTAAGAAGATTCACCAGAGTCAGAGTGGGGAGCAGAACAGGCAAATCTACTGAAATACACAGCTGAGGGGAGCAGCGAGTGAGACAGGAGAGGTCTGCTACACCATGTGGGTCAGCTCCTTGGCCAGGGATCGAACTCAGGAACTCAGGCTGTAGCAGTGATAGCGCTGAGACTTAACCCCTAGGCCAACAGGGAGGCCCTAAATTTTACATCTTCTATAGAGAAAATAACTGTACATGTCAAGGTTTTTCCCAAAAGCTGGGCAGTGTCTGTTGAGCTGCGGCGGCTGCCCCAGGCGAGGCCTATGGTGTCACAGCGAGCATGCAAGCCTGGAACGGGGAGACTTCTGTACGCAGAGAAGCGGCCGCCACAGAGACGGTATCATACAGAAGCACACGTAGGCATGTGGATCCTGGATCTCAGTAAGCTGTGCAGGTGCTGTGGTCAGTGCCTGACACACACAGGCTTAGCCAGGTACTTCGCCCACGTCAGCAGTCACGCAACCAGCCCCTCCCTCCCCCCCCTTCTCCCCCTCCCACCCCAGCTCTGTGGTGAGAATCCAGCAGGCTGGTTCAGGATGGGCCTCACCTCCCCACTTGCGTGACCCCGGGGTAGGTCACTGAGCTCTTGCCACCTCACATTTTTCATCTGTAAAGTGACATTTCTACGAGAACTTTACCCTACCTCAAAGGAATTCTGAAAGAATGATGTGAATGTGTATAAGTGATTACAATATGGCTGAGAGAGAAAGTCTCCTAATACATGTTACAATTTTTACTTTCAAAACCTCCTGATAAGCAGCTTAGAAACTGTTCAGTTGTTTGGTACATATTTATTGTAAGTCAAACAGATCCAAATTCTTTTGAAAGCTAATGGAATGGAGGGATAGTTTTAACTCTATTGGACGTGCAGTCTAACTGTAGTGACTGGCGGGCCCGTGCAAAAACAAAGCAGCTGTATTTTTCTTGTACTTTTTCAAAAAAACCTCTTTTATACAGATTGAGAAAGAAGCAGTGGCTGTATCTAAGGTGATCACGGTAAATATGTGAATATAGAAAACAAGAAATCTGAGAATAACTTTCCTGAATAAAAATTTAAAATTTATAAGTGTGTTATCTATTATGAAGGACATTTGATCCTTTCATATAGGCTCAGAAACGAATGACCCACTCCTCTCCCAAAGGCAGGCCTCCACCATAATATAGGTTCACATGGCTGATATTCTAGAAGAGACAAAATTCTCATTGACAGGACTGAGAAGCACTGTTCCCTCTCACATGTCCCAGAATACGGAAGGCAGATGGGATTTTATACCACATGTTAAATCCTTTCAAGGAAGTAGGGCTTCCCCCCAATCTTTTTTAAAAAGCTCTGGCATTTCAGAGTGTTATAGTCAGCCAGGTCCCAGATCTCCCTCTGCTGCTTGGGTGCAGGGTGCCTAATGCACCAGCGCACAGGAAGGAACACTGTGACACGAGGTCTTTTACAGAGAATTCATTTACAAAAACGACATCAAGCACCTGTTATGGCCAAGACACCGATCTAGGTGCAGGATGCAGGGGAGAACGAGATTAAGGTCCCTGCAATTGAAGGTATAGACAGACAGGTACAACGTGTCATGGGGTGAGGGATACTTGAGTGTCCTCAAGAAATGATGCAGGGAATAGGGAATTATGAAGATACACTCTGACACCTTGCTGGGGAGCTACCATTGGTGCAGAAACCTAAATGACATGCAGGAGCAGCTACGCAAAGGCCTGGGAGAGAGCTGATCAGGCAGTGAGCTCAGTGAAGTGCCAGAGTGGCTTAGGTGCAGTGAGGAGGCAGATGGCAGGAAATAGGTTGGGGTAGCCATGGCGTGAACTATAGGAGGAGGGCTATTTTTTTTTTTTTTTTTTGAGTGGTGTGACATTAGGAGAATTGTGAGCTGGCAAGTGATACCTGACTGACACATTTGAAAGTGTCGCTCTGATTGTGGGAAGAAACTGGAGCTAGTGAAGCTGTGGACACCAGTAGGACACAGTCGCAGTAGACTACGGAAGAGATGGCAGGTGCCTTGGACAATGCTGGCAGCAGTGGTAGTGGAAAAGATTGAGGTTTTTTTTAAAAAGATTGATTTATGTGTAGAACTGGGGTACAGGCCAGAGGTGTGGGGAAAGGGGTCAGAGGATTCACCAGAGACAGAGCAGGGAGCAGAACAGACAGATCTACTGAAATCCACTGCTGAGGGGAGCAGCAGGCAAGACAGGAGAGATCTGCTGCGCCATGTGGGTCAGCTCTGGCCGGGGATCAAACTCAGGCCACAGTGATATCATTGAGACTTAACTCCTAGGCCACCGGGGAGGCCCTAAAATTGTATTTTGAAAGACAGATTGACAGGATTTGCTGATAGACTGGGTATAAGGTATGCGGAAATAGAGGAATCAGGGGTGACCCCAACACATCTAACTTACGTGAACTGGGTATAGGAAGAAGACATGTAACATTGGCAGACAATGGTGGCTCAAGTTGAACAGGTTCATTCATGATGCTATCTTGGATGTTAAGAAGGCTGGTAGATGTAAGTCCTGAGCTTAGAAGAAAACTCAAGTCTGAAGATACACAGTTGGAGGTCGTATACAGCATTCAAGCTGCTGGACGAGACCCAGATTGTGTCCGGACTGCTGGAGTCCATCAATCACTAGAGCTCTGAGAAAAGAATAGGCTCTGGCAGAGGAGATGAGCGAGGAAACCAGAGAAGCAGCAGGACGTTCAGGAGAGGGGTTTCCCAGACGGCATCTGAAGAGCATCCCGAGTAGGAAGTCAGTGCTTCCACTTTGGTGAGGACTGAGCATCAGCCACTGGATTCGGCACCGTGAAAGGTGACCGTGATGAGAGGGGCTTGCGGCAAATGATGGTTGAGTTAAAATAAATGGGAATCACAGAATCAACTCTGATGTGGTGGCAGCCTCGACAACCTTGCAGAACGTCCCGCCTGACTGTACAGCTGTTAGAAACGATCGCTTGTGTGTAATTTTCATTACACACTGACCTCTCAGTTATTCCAAATGAGCCACCTTCGCGGGTGCGCTTTAACACGGGTGTATTCCAGTAAGTGTGGTGCTTTGTAGTGATGCCAGAGTGAAACCTGCCAACAGTGACTGAGTCTCTCCTGCCATCCTGGAAAAAGTATTCATTACTAGGATATTACTTTGTTAGAAACGTCTATAAAACAGCGATTGCAGGGCCTCCCTGGTGGCCCAAAGGGTTAAGCACTGCACTATGAAGCAATCCGCAGGCTCTGCAGCACGAGTTCGATTCCCAGCCGGCCAGGGAGCTACCCACAGGGCACAGCAGACCTCTCCTGATTCGCTCGTTGCTCCCCTCAGCAGTGTGTTTCAGTCAGTCTGCCTTTTCTGTTCCCTGCTCTGCCTCTGGTGACTCCTCTCACCCCCTGCGCCTGTGGCCTGTACCCAGGCTCTTGTATGCATAAACAAATAAATCTTTAAAAAAAAAAAGTGATTGCAAAATAGGCATTATGCCTCTCAAAAGAGAATGTGTCAAGTCATAAAAGTCAGAAAACTGAAAGTTAGACATTGCATTTTTTTTTTCTAAAGGACTTCTTAGAGCTTTTTTTTTTTTAAAATAATAAATTTTATTTTTATATTCCCCCATACAATTGCAAACGCCCCATTCTGACCCCAATCCTTCCCCTCCCGCCCCCCCAAGAAGTGACACCATTTCTCAAACTTTTCTGGCCTCACAGACTCCTGTTCTAGGTAACACATTTTATGAACTCTTACTTGGGACTCCAGAATCGTTCGCACGCAGTTCCCACCCAACTGTGCTGAACGTTACTGAACAGTGAAGGGCCATCTCGCCCAGAATGGTGAGCTGCCCCCATGGCACAACGTTTTGTCACTCTATCTTGTTATTTGTAGCTAGAGACACGAAACAGACCTCCGGTGGGGCTTTGCCACTTTTTTTTTTAAAGATTTATTTATGTATACAAGAATTGGGATACAGGCCAGAGGTGTGGGGGGTGAGAGGATTCACCAGAGACAGAGTGGGGAACAGGACGGGCAGACTGACTGAAATACACTGCTGAGGGGAGCAGCCGGCGAGTCAGGAGAGGTTTGCTGCGCCATGTGGGTCACCTCCCTGGCTGGGGATCAAACTTGTGCTACAGTGGTTGCGGATAGCTTCATAGTGCTGCATCTTAAGCCCTTGCGCCACCAGGGAGGCCTGCTTTGCCACCTCTTAACTCCACTTGCCCCCATGAATATTTGATCAACCCAGTTCTGAAAAGGCCTTATTTCATTTGCTGAATGAACTGGTCTCTAGCTTCTAATCTCAAAAACAACATTAAGGAAAGAGTGAGAGCAGAAATAAACTAATTGTGTCTTATAAAGACTAGAAAAAAAGAATGTGATAAAAATTTTGAAGACTTTTTTAAAATGTGGAAAAATTTAGAGTAAGATAAAAAATATTTCACATGGCGAATACTTTTTTTTAGCCAGTCAGTTCTATTTTGATTCTTTTTTATCTCAACAATCATTTTACAATCTCCCCCTTTCACCACCTGTCCCAACCCAAGCTTTAAATATTTTAATGCAGATATACATCAAATAGTTGAAGGCCGGGCTTTAATGACAAACATCAGGAAAACTGAACTCTTTTCTTACCCACATTAAGTATAGATGAAAATGATACTCAAAGACTACTTCAGTAGATACAAGAGCAGGGAAATGAATAATCAAGTCAGAAAGTCATTTTGTTAAAAATATTTATTTAAAAAAATACAATTGTCCATATCTAGTTGCACATATATCCATTAACACATCTATATAATTTTGAACTTTAGTAAATTCCTGTAGTACTTTCTTAAAGTCAGCTTGCAATTATACAAATTCCTCTGTCAGTTCTTACATAAAATAAGTTTTTAAATGTTAACATCTTTCTAAGAAGATGCATATCACCATTGCAGAATTTAACAAAGTTTTTGCATAAAACTTGAAGCTATAGAAAAAGATCACCTGACTGGTTATTCAGAGCAACCCCTTCCTATGTCTGGAGATGCACTGAATTGCAACTATACTTTTTCTTTTAAAAGCAGCATATTATAACACCCTCAAAGTGACAGCACACCTCCTCCCCCACCTGCCTAGACTCTGGGAGTTTCTCTGCTGCACACACAGATTCAAGACTCCCGCTCGTCATCCTAGAAATACTCCCTTGTTTCCCGAAGAGTCACACTGCTTAGCTGGAAGAAATGGTGGTTTCTCTCCAGTTGCATCAACAATTAATGTGATTTTAATAAATGTTAGCAGTTACCATCATTTTAATTGCTTTCTGTAGGCAAAAGGAAAAATATGATTTTAATACTTTCAGGTTTTCCCTAATGTAAGTTACAATAAAGTCAAGATAAACTGTTAATGACACTTGAACAGTTATTCACTCCTTTGGGTAGATGTGTTCTTGCCTTATAGATGAGTGTTCTAGAAATACAAAAGTGGTGGATACTGCATATTAAGAGAGAGATGTCAATGAAATGAGAAAAAAAGCAATTGTCTTATCAGTGGTGTTGATCTAGGTCTGAGGAAAGCACCCTGACATGTCACCACAGATCCCTAACGAAGACACTGACATAAAGAACACATCTCTCCTGTGTTAACCCCACAGCAGATATAGGCTTTACATAAGGGTAATAGATTGGGGAGATGAAAATCAATTTTATTATTTAACATCATTTAATTTTCAGGTGATATCCACACTCGAAGACCCCCCAGCAGGACTCAGAGAGAATTATTTGTTCTTCAAAATGCAAAATGATATGCTTTTTTAAAAAGCCAACTTGAATATTTGGTGAATTAAGGGTATACTTCTGAAAAATTAATTAGTTAATTACAATTAATTAAAAATTTTATTCACTTCAAACCGAAGTAGCAAAATGACTGGACTGAGTTTCATATTTAATCTTCCCTACGCACAAAGGTAAATGAAACTGCTAGAAGGCAAAAGTGAGGAAACAGGTGATTGTAATTAGAAAACATAGGATGGCAAAACTGAAGAGCCTCAGGTATCAAAAATCAATTGTGTTCACTTCTTTCCTACTTTTACATATACGCATCTTCATTTCACTAGACAGGGAAGTTCATAAAATATGCTACTTTATCACATAAACAATGAATGTACTGTACATATAAAGGCCACTGGTAATACTGCCCTCAAAAACAAAAACTATGAAATGTCTTAGAAGGGCCTATGCCCCCTACATAACAGACAGGCAGCAACAATTAAACAAAGAAGAAACTTACAATGGATAGTTTACAAAGTTGTGTGTGATCCTCTGATTGTGAATCATTTAAAAAGTGATGCATTTCTACAAAGCACAATATTGTTTATAAGTTGTTTAAAAGCAACCTAGCCCAAAGGGCAAACCTTCCAGAGTCCAGAAGAATGGCTCATTAGGCAGCCCATTTTTCCCTTCTCCAAAACAGCCTTAAGTTCCAGAAAACATCAACAAGAAATTAACCTTACTTCCCTGACCCCCAATATGCTTAAGAAGAAATTAAACATTATCACTAAGTGCTTCCAGTTATTAAAAACAAAACAGTGCTAATAATGGTGCCCCAAAAGTGCCAAGCGATTTAATACCAGCATCTGGCATGCCTACCCCTGACCTCCAGGTATACCTGCATGGCTCCACTGGCGAGAACTCAGGCTCAGCCACAGGGCACCCCCATCCCCCCTAGTCCAGAAGATCCCAGGCCTGTCCTCATATGGCTCCTAATCCTTGGAAGGGGTAACAACCAGATGGACCCTTATGAGAGGGAAAACAAGGAAAAGTGGACAGAACTATCCAGCCCGAGACTGCAGTTTCCACTAACGCGCCGTATGTACAGTCACTTTAAAAGGATAAAGTAGGCCACAATGCCAGAGTTCTTCTAGTCTATCTGTGGTGAACTCTATTTTAGAAATGCTGCTTCTATAAACCTCTTCTCTGAGAAACTTAGAGCCCAACAAAATGAGGATTTTACACAAAAGCAAATGTAGAAATTTCAAGAAAGGACATCCTATTTGCTCAATAATACCTGAAGAACATAAGAAAACAGTTTAAGATGATTTTGTTTAGATAATGTCACATGGAGCACTTTATTTTTAAAATGTTGGCAAGCAGTTTCTTTTTAAGGCCTATGAGTCTATGTATTTAAAAAAAAACAAATATGCAAGACATTAATTTTTAAAAAGTGGCAACTGCAAAGTGCAGCCAATTTCTTAAGTTTTAGTATAAAATAGCCTTGGAGCCATCCTGGAGGATGAATAATATATGTTCCCTTTGAAAACAGATTTACTTAGACATACAAAAACATACACTCATCAGTTCATCAGTATATACACATGCTCAGTCAATAAATCTGAATGACTTGGAAAGAAAAGCTCTGGTCTCCCAATTAAACATTAGAAGATAAAAATTTTAATCTCATAAAACTTCCTGGTGTGTATTATTACACTCAAAAGATTAGAGTTCAAGAGACTTACTACGTTTGACTGTATCCCTCATGAATTTTCTCGTTAAAGGTTTCATTTAAAATGACGTCAGCAACAGCTTGAATCTTCTGGTTTCTAGAGAAAGCGAGGGCTGACATTCCCCTCACACAGCCACGCTGGGCTTCCGCTCTCACAACAGCTAAGCTGTGACAGACAGGACCCTCAAAGTGCTATTTTCTGGCAGGTCGTCAACCTATCACTTTTTTTTTTTTTTTTTCATTTTTTCCCAAAAGTAGCTAGAAGAATCTGGCAGCTTCAGGTGCAACATTTACACTATATTAACAACTCACCGTTCAGATTTGCTGTTTGCAGGTCAAAACGTGACTTTTATACTAACACGTTCCACCAAGTACAAGAAAGGAAATCAAACCACCTTGCTTTCCTTGCTTAATACAATACCACCGCAAGAATTCCAGATTCTAAGATTAACACTTCCATAAGCAGAGTTCTGATGACATAAGAGAAGTAAGAGGGCACCTTATTTCAGGCAATGCCAGCAACATTAAAAACAATCACAAAACATTTATTTCTTGACCCCAAACCAAGAAGATAATTTTAACAAATGCCTTCCCCATTTTCTGGTCAGAATACCTGGTTAAGAAAGATAATTATGGCTGACTTACATTACTATGGGTTGAACAATTAACTCCTCAATTCCATTTTAGAAATGATCTATTCTGTCATGCCCTCCAATGACAGACTTCATCATGAATACTCTTTTTATCTTCCCTGTGGTTTGGTGATTCATTCAGAGAGCAGGTGTCTGCAGAGAGACCTGTACTCACCCCCTGTGCACCTCCCCACTCTCACTGACACACCTAAGAATGGCACCTCAGCACAGTTCTAGATTCCTGGCGTGGGTAATAAAAAGCATATATAGTAAGTGATAAACAGAACAGACCCACTCAGGAAAATATTTGTTCAGATGCTGAAATGTTACAAATTTTAAAAATAAAAAATTAATAAGGCAAGAAAATGGAGGTCACTAAATATTTTAACATAAAGCAACTTGAAAAAATCTGAGTTTGATGGTAATAAAGTCCAAAATAAATCTAACTAGACGAGTAAGATAAAAATAATTATGGAGTCATACCTAATAGGAAAGAGATAACAGGCTATCAAAACTAGTATGCATGAAGCCCTGGGAAACACTGGTGAAATGGGTTAGTTGGTGACTTACAAAAAAAGAATTAAAATGAAATTCCAGAAGGTTGGTAACAAGCTCTCTTGAAAAGTTCCAAATCTCTTCTAGGGATTTTACATAAAAATCAGACCAAATATGTAAAGTAGTTCTTCATATATCACAACAAAAGTATCCATATCCCCTGTAGCCCCAAGATTGGACTGAGAAGTAATATCCTGGGTCAGTGGTCTTTTACAGAAGAGAGTGAGCTGTGAGAGGGTGCACAAGGCAATCTACTGGGTGCTGAAAGAAAATGCTAGAACTTTACTCAAGATTTGTTTTGTGTGCCATCATTAATTCCTATTTTTGTGTATGTCTTCTCATGTCCGATTCACTTACCATGTAGCTATTACTGCTGCATATGTGACTCAACATACATACACAGACCCCACAACAGGGAATTTGTGCTCAGAACCTTTCATTGATCAAGAGGTATCTTCAAAAAAGGCTGAAATGGGGCCTCCCCTGGTGGTACAGCGGTTGAGCGCTGGGCTGAGAGGCTGCCTGCAGCCTCTGCAGCGCCGCCAGCAAGGGTCCCACACAAAAAAAAAAAAAAAAAAAAAAGGCTGAAATGAAGACTGCTTTTCTCACCAGGGCCTTGTAGGTGCTTAAATTCATTGCAAACATATAAATCTGCCTTTCAGAAGTCAGAGTTTAGAAATCGTAACACAAATTCTGAGATAAGGATGAGACCATGTCATCTGCTCATTATCATGCAATGCCAGGTGGGAGTGATGCCGAGGAGTACCACAGAGAGCCCGCAGTTACAGCTCAAGAATCCAAGCTTCTGAGTCATTTCTCCTCAAAGCCTAAGTGACATACAGTATAGAGAAGATGGGATACTATGCCAGGAAAGTAGATTCTAAAGTCAGCCTGGCCTTTTTTTGATCTCTAACATGGTATGTAAATCTTCCAGGAGTTTTCCAGTTTAAAAAAAAAAATCCAGTACCCTTTTACTATACAGGCTTATAACTTACTTTCCCCATCAAAATTGGAAGAAAAAATAATACCTATATTTTACCCACCAAAATGTGGTGGGGGGGGAGAAATAAGCCTATATTTAAACTCTAAAAAGCTTAACACTGACCTTTTGAGGGTTTCCTGATTCTTCCATTATGTATAAATTTTTAAAAAAAAAAATCAACGGAAGTTTCTATCTTTAAATGCACAAAAGATGCTACAGTAGCACTATGACAGAGCACTAAAAAAAAAGATTACTGAAGTCAAACATGATTTTACTTTGATTTTTTTAAATTAGCATATGGATAAGAAAAATTATTTTCAAAATTATGTGCAAACCCAACACGGCGGACCAGATAAGAGTAGTCTGCTGGCTAAGTGTGGGGCTCTGAGCCAGTAACAGTGCACATCCCTTCTCCAGCCCAAGGTGACGGCTTAAAATCAGTCACTGGGAGGGTAATTTACATGGCGAAATCAACAAAGGCTTCAGATTAAGGGATTTTTTCTCCTCCTTCACAGAGCCTGGTGAAGTATTTCCAGCACACCACTAAGTAGCCAGGGGCCAGAAAAGATGATGAGCTAAGACAATCACAGCAGAGGGTCTCAAATCTCATTCAACCTGCTCTACTATTTTCACGTAGGCTGCTCTGCCCAATACCTACTCAACCTGGCAAAGTGACTAGTGATGGACACCAGCCAGTTACTGAACATAAGCCTCGCCAGTGAGTGCTGATCTTAAGTGGGGTATCATCTCTTGATGGTAAGAACTCTGTTGATGTTCAAAACAACATGAAACAGAGTTTTCCAGGAAGGAGGTAGTTTACAAATAGAATGGTCTGCCTCATGCATTTCAGCTAAGGTGGTACTTTCCTTTAAAAGGGGACAAATACACAGGCTTCCCTAGATGAGTTGACCGCAAGGAGAAAGCAGATCATCATTAACCCCCTGAGGACTCAACCTACTCAAAACCTGCAGGGATAGGTTTACAGATGTAGGACTCAGTAAAATTGGTTCCTAGGAAGTTGCTCTGACCAAGTTTTAATGGTGCCCTTGGTTCACAAGGCACCCCTGTGCTGAAACAATTACAAAAAAAAATCATCTGTGAAAATAAAACCAATGGCTTTTCTCCATTAATTTAAAAAGATAAAACACCTTCTGTGCTTTCAAAATTTTAAATATCTAGTTAAATCAAGCCATCAATATTATTTATTTAATGTAAAAATTGTTAATTAACCTAACTATTCAAAAGTGCTGCAGAGAGCTCTAATTTCAAACAGGCATGCGAACTAAATAACTCAATACAGGAAAAAAATCCAATATGTCTGTTCCCCATCACTTCTGAACACTACCTTTCAATCCTACTATTGCACATCTTAGGAACAGAACTTTGAGCTCCTAACCACAAATGAACCAGTAACAGGTCTCCAATACTACAGGCATGAAGGCAGCTCCCTGAATATTGTCCCTGCACTGCTAATGAACTAGCGAAGACGTCTCCTATGAGAGCTTCTCCACACTGTATAGAAACAGATTCAAAACAAACACGAAACATCTGGAAGACATTGATTGGTATCAGTGTCATTTTGAATCCTCAAGTCCTTACTCCTTCATTCTATTTAGCTCATGTGACTTAATTACAAGAACTATTTCTAGGATTAGACTAATTTAATGGGCAGGGGGGTGGGGGTGGCTGCAGCAGCACATAATCTAAAACCAGACTTTAAAGCTGAGTTTTTCAAAAGACTCTGCTACGATGCTGCTATCCAGTTTGGGGGACCAGCCAATCTTCCGGTACCTGACATTGATTGTTACACTTTAGAAATTTTTCACCATCACCAATATGAATAATCCAATCCCTATGTCTGAGCATTTCCAAAGGAACCCTGCTCCTAATTTAAAAAAAAAAAAAAAATCAAAGAAATAAGCACATCTTTACCTCACTACAGATATGGAGACTTTGCCTTTCATCTTCCTAAAGACATCTTTAAACGTATCTCAACCTCTAACAACCTTACATTTTTAAAGACAAATAAACCTATAAAATAGGGTAAAATTAACAGAAAAGAGAAAGGATCCTTCGTGCTGCATAACTTCTAACTGGGAAAAGCCCCAGATGTTGTTTCAAATTACACGATTCTTCACTCAGAGATGCCTCAAATTTTCAAAAGCAAGGTGCGTCCTCCTAACACATCACCATCTACCGCGCTGTGCTGTGTGGTCAGACCACCCAGAAGCAGACCACATGCTAGACATGGATCCCATGTTCTCACTGGCTGTCCCAAACACTGTCTTAAACCCTACAGACGAGCTCCACGCACCGTTAGCGGGTTCAGACACGATCGCACATAAGGCGAAGGGACCCACCATGAATGAATGTAAATGTCTTTCTGTGGTGTTACTTACATGTTACAGTTGACAGCAAAACAGACTCTCCCTGGTAGTGCTGACCCATTTTACTTTGCATAAATAGGAATCATTCTTTTGCCTCCACTGCTTTTGCCCAGCTTACTTTTAGTTATTCAGCAGAGTACACTTAGTTCTAAATACATGACCAATTTCATTTAACTAATATTTCTCTAAACAATATAATCAAAGTATAATTTTTTTCCTGGCCAAAGGGTCCCAAAAAGGTAGAAAGAGCAACTTTGTTCTTAATTGCTCTTGCAAAACAAAAGCTGCTAACCCCCACCAAAATTTCCTTTACAACATAGCTCAAGATGTTTTTTAAAAAAAGAAAAAAGGGGGAGGTGAAGTTTGGACCCCAATTAAGGCATTTTTTATACACAGTCCATCTTGAGTCTATATTCACAGGGAGTCCTAAACGGCACTTCAGAGGGAAGCGGAGCACTCACAGCAGTCTCTTGTTGGCTTTGAGGAATTACCAATTGCTTACTTCAAAGGTAATCATGTTGACTGTCACTGTTTTTTGATTCCTCGGTTCTCTCATTCCACAAGTCATAGGTTATGTTTTCTGTAGATCTGGGGAAAATGGGCCAGGGGTAGAAGGTCCATCCAGGCCAGACAGAGTAAATGGCCCATGACTGCCCAGTGCAGGAAACTGAGAAGAAAATAAAACACATTATCATCATCCTGTTACTCAAAACTCCAACTTTCACTTTTTGTCCCTATTCTATTCCATGAGGCAGAAAACAGCAGACGCTGGCAGTGGCTCACGGGACAAAGGTAGTGAGTGTTTATCACAGAAGACTATGTCATTAAAAAGTTTAAAGAAAAAGTTGTTTGTCCTACCTGTTAAATATTAACTCTCCAACCTATCCTGATGTAATGGAAAGAAAAAGGCTACAGCTTCCCTTATAACCTGAGGTTTATAGTTTGCATGTAACCTCAAATGAAGGTTTCAGAAAGTTCAGTGATGACAACATGCCCTATGGAGGGTGATTCACTTACAAAGCAGACCTGACGGTCCAAAAGAGGCCCAGATAGTCATGCCCATTTATTAACTTATTTATAACTGGTGCAAATAGTTACGGGGTGCTCACCATAGGAAAAGGGCTCCCCATCATATATTCTGAGATTCTTTTATTTTTAAAGAATTTTTGTTTCCCACGTAGAAGAACTGGGGTGTAGGCCAGAGGTGTGGGAGGGTTGACGGGGGGTGCAGAGGATTCACCAGAGACAGAGTGCGGAGCAGAACAGGTGAATCTACTGAAATACACTGCTGAGGGGAGCAGCAGGTAAGGCAGGAGAGGTCTGCTGCGCCATGTGGGTCACCTCCCTGACCGGGAATCGAACTCAGGCTGTAATGGTGATAGCGCTGAGACTCAATCCCTAGGCCACCACAGAGGCCCCTATTTTGAAATTCTTTCCCTCTGTAGGGAGATTCCAGCTGAAGCTACACATGCATATGACTTCACTATCTCAGATCATGCTAACTCAGTTACCTGCCAGTAAAAGGCAAAGAAAAATGTAAAAATTAAATAAGGAAGATTCTCAATACTTTCTATTCAAAAATTTAAAAATTTCTGCCAAAAAAGTAAAAACAAACCACAACATGCAGAAATTCTTAATTTTTTTCTTTTCCCTATTTCATTTCCAAAAAACAAATAAAAAGTTTACTTACAATATATAAGAAAATCTCTCGGGAAGTCATTGCTGAGTAAATAAATGAATTGACCACAAGAGAGTCTACAAATTATAAAGTCTAGGTGATGTTTTAAGCAAAAAATAGTTATAACCATAAAATATTTCCTAGTATCTTGGCTAATATATAATATTCATTTTAAAAATATTTTCAAATGTTGATGATCAGAGCCTCCCTGGTGGCACAAGGGGTTAAGACGCAACCTATGAAGCTATCCACAGCCACTGCAGCATGAGTTTGAGCCCTGTCCAAGGAGCTACCCACATAGCGCAGCAGAGCTCTCCTGTCTTGCCTACTGCTCCCCTCAGCAGTGTATTTCAATCACTCCACCTATTCTGCTCTCTACTCTGTCTCTGGTGAATCCTCTCACGTCTCTGGCTTGTACCCCAGTCCTTGTATGCATAAATAAATAAATCTTAAAAAAAAATGTTGATGATCATTTCTGAGGGGGAAATGGGAGTATTTGATATACTATTCTTAAGGCGCGTCGCTATTTTTCTTTAAATCCTCAGGTGAAAGGAGAAACTTACATGTAGATCCTTACCCCCATTCCCCAAATATATACACATATACATGTATGTGTGTTTCTAGAGATAGAAGATTTCTCATGTTTAAAATGACAAACAAATAGGGCAGGCTCAAAATTTACTACAGTATTTTATTTTTTTTTAAATATTTATTTATTTATTTATACAAGAACCGGGGTACAGGCCAGATGCGTGGGAGGGTAAGAGGATTCACCGGAGACAGAGCGGGGAACAGAACAGGCAGACTGACGAAATACACTGCTGAGGGGAGCAGCAGGCAAGGCAGGAGAGGTCTGCTGCGCCATGTGGGACCCTAGCCGGCCAGCCGGCCGGCTGGGATCGAACCAGCGCTGTAGAGGCTGCAGACAGCTTCATAGTGCAGCGCTCAACCGTCTGTACCACCTGGGGAGGCCCTCAAAATTTACTACAGTATTAAACAATTCTTGGTTTAACTCAAATGTATGTAATAGTAAATAATAAAAAGGAAACTGCTAAGAATATTTAACTTAGCTGCTTGCTTGCTGAAAAATGAACACTTAGAACTTCAAACATAAATCTAAAAACTACTGGAGAGAAGTTTTAAAATAGCTAAAAAGTAGGAAGTATCCTTCTTGCCTCTTTCTTCATTACCATGCACCAATTACATGAGGCTTTTTTAATGTCACTTACCTGGAAGAGCGTGCTAGCACCTTGCAGTCTGGCCGGACTCAGGGGCGCAACTGGACTGAGAGTGCTCCAGAAGTGGATGCTGGAGAGCAGGGGGCTCGGCGTCAGTAAGATGGGCGTCTGCAACACACAAGATGAAATAGTCACTCATCTGAATTAGCAGGACTGTCACAATACACCAGAAGCCCTGAACCCAAATACAGCCCATTTTACCACCAAGTCTGAAATTTTATAACGAGGAAAAAACTAGAAATTATGACCTAAGAAAGAGTTGAAGTATTTTCTAATCTGTCTGAAGAATTCAGGTATGAAGAAATAATGGGTAACTGAATCACAAACAGGTTTTTTCCTTGATAATGAGCAGATCTGGGAGTAATCTATCTAATAAAATGTTATACGAGATGAGCAAGTTAAGAAATATCTATGTACAAACATGTTACTCAACATCACACCAGTCTTTTTCTTGAGTTCTCAGGATCTATTATTTTCTGACCTTAGATTATCACTGATTTCTAAAGATACCGATCAGTTTATAAGAAGTACATTAAATACTTTTTATTTTTATTTTAAAGATTTTTTTTTAAGATTTATTTTATTTATTTATACAAGCACTGGGTACAGTCAGAAGTGTGAGAGGGTCAGAGAATTCACCAGAGCCAGAGCAGGGAGCAGAACAGGCAGACTGACGAAGTACACTGCTGAGGGGAGCAGCGGGTGACAGGAGAGGTCTGCGCACCATGTGGGACCCTCGCCCGACGGCCAGGGATCGAACCGGCGCTGCAGAGGCTGCAGGCAGCTTCGCAACCCAGAGCTCAACCGCTGCGCCACCAGGGAGGCCCCATTAAATACTTTTTTAAAAGAGAATTATTTTCATTAGGAAAAAGTAGAAAAATGAAAACATGTATTCACTTATAGAACAATGAATTTTTAAACAAAATGCTCCAACCCCTTCATTTTGACAATCCTGAGTCGGGGGATGGGGTGACTTTCACAGGGTCACATAATCCTACACAGCACATAAGCCTACACAGCAGAATGAGACCTTGAGATTATAAATTCTGGACCTGTTTAAAAAGATAAGAAATGCAAACAATGGCAACACTAAATGGAAAAAAAAGAGTTACCTGGGAAAAAAGTGCTGGCGTAAGAGAAGCGGTAGGGAGGGATGGGCTTAATATTCCCAGCGGGCTTGGATCGCTGCCAGTGATCACGAGGGTGGGCGCCAGCTCTAGCCCTTTGGGTTTTTTGGATCTTGATGAATTATTTGTTTTGTCCTTTTCTGGCAAAACTGAATCCTGGTGTTTAGGCTCCAGAGACAGGTTCTCTGGAAGTTCCATTGGCTGAGAAGTCACTGAATCAATGTCTGTGTCGATGTCGGGGTTGGAACTCAGTGGCGGTGATGGAGTTCCCGGCAGCTCCTGCAAAGGGGACACGGATGCAACAGGAGGTGGGGTGGGAAAAGCTGCCGTTACACCGGCTGCTGAGGCTGGGGCTTCCAGGGATGGCAGTTTGGATGAAGCCAGAGTCTCCAAAGCTTGGATAGCTTCCTCTGAAGATGGAGGGATATTTGGGCCAGTTGAAATGGTGGCAGCAACAGGTTCAACGGGTGGCTTTTTGGAAGGTGTTGTTACAAATTTGATGACAGATGGTGCTGGCTCCTGAGATTTTTTCTCTGCCAGTTTCTCAGCTGGATTCTCAATCTTTATAGATCTGAAAGGCTTCGGATTGGAGGAGTTCAGAGAGTTGAGAGTAAATGAAGAGTACAAGCCGGAGTGTATGTAGTCATTGCGGCTCGAGCTCTTGGCACCAGGCTGCGGTGGTTTCTCTCTCCCTCCACTCTCCACATCTTTGGAACTGCTGCAGACATCACTAAAACTGAAGGCTTTGCAGTCTCCCTCAATCCTGCCCACTGTCATTGGATCCATGTTCAAAATCTCTGGGTAAGATACAAACTTGTACACAAACTTCTGACCATTCACTTTTTTTATGATATTCTGTAATAAATAAAATAAGCATTCATATGTATTCTTAGAAACTTACCTCCCACAGCTCATAAAAAGGCTGACTTAATAAGGTTCTCTATTTGACAAGAAATTTACTTAAGAGCTTCAAAATCTAAATTTATCTGTCGATACCAAACAGTCCCTACTATTACGCAACATACAATTAGAACATTTAAATGTCTTATTAACAACTGAACGAATGTTACATAAATGCTGAAAGATTTTTATTGCTTAATGTTCTCAACCAAATATCTGTTTTAAGTCAAAAATGCTAAACTGCAATTTCAAATAACTCCGAAGGTACAAGCTGAATAAGCAGAAAGGAATTTAGAACATTATTCTGCTAAAGTTCCTCCTGCCTTCAGAAATTCCAGTTGCTTCTTACCCCCTATCTTCATAAAGGAAAGCTGATAAGATCAACCACTTAAAGATGAAAGAAATTAAGATCTCAGCTTTTTTTTTTCTAATTCTATCCTTTTGAGTCATTTATTTTACCCATTTAGTCCCAAGAAAGCATTCAAAATAAATACAAATTAAACAAATAAATAAAATTTTAACTAAGAATTCAAAACTGTATACTAACACTATTCTTTTAGGTACTAATTTATATACTTAGTTAAACTAGAAAGCAAAAATCAAGTAAAGCTAAAAAAATAAGTACTAATGACAATTTTTAAAGTAAGTTATGATACACCCAAGACTTTATCCTCAAGAATCTCACTTTTGGGCCTCTCCCTGGTGGCACAAGGGGTTAAGCACCACACTATGAAGCAATCCACAGCCTCTGCAGCACAAGTTCTATCTCCGGCCGGCCAGGGAGCTACCAGCATGGCGCAGCAGACCTCTCCTGACTCACCTGCTGCTCCCCTCAGCAGTGTACTTCGGTCAATCTGCCTGTTCTATTCTCCACTCTGTCTCTGGTGAATCCCCTCACCTCCCACACCTCTGGCCTGTACCCCAGCTCTTGTATGCATAAATAAATAAATCTTTAAAAAAAAAAGGGGTCTCCCTGGTGGCACAGGCAGTTGAATGCCATACTGTGAAGCTGTCCGCAGCCTCTGCAGCACGGGTTCGACCCTAGCCAGCCGGCGAGAATCCCACATGGCAAAGCAGACCTCTCCTGTCTCGCCCTCTGCTCCCCTCAGCAGTGTATTTCTTCAGTCTGCCTGTTCTGTTCCCCACTCTATGTCCAGTGAATCCTCTCACCCTCCCGTGCATCTGGCCTGTACCCCAGTTCTTGCATAAAAATAAATCTTTAAAAAAAAACTCGCTTTTCTTTTTTCTTATTCCAACCCTACCCTCACTTTTTCTTTAAAGAATGACAATAAGTCAATGTTGATTTATGGATTGTAACAAATGTTCCACCATGATGGGTGATGCTGATAGTGGGGGAAGGTGGGGGGCAGGAGTCTATTGCAATTAGGAATAAAATATGTGTAATGAGAAAGGATACTGCCTAAGAATTTATAGCAATACAGCTGAAACATTTATACCTTTCGTTCTCATTCCAAACTGCTGGAGCTAGAAAATAAACTGGGTTAAAGTAAATCAGGACACTAATTCTGATACACTCAATTGAAAAGAAGGAACAATTCTGGGTTTGAGGTTCTCTATATAATACAAGACCAGGATGTGTATTACCTTCACATAATAGTATCTGAGGGCCCGGCTGAGTTTATCATAATTCATGTTAGGCTTGTTCTTTCGAATCCCCCAGAGACGAGCCACCTCTTCTGCTTGCAGAAGCTTGAATTCCCCATTGTTAGAGGTCCAGCAAATCATGTTCTTGTGCTGAGGCTCCTGAAGGAGCTGCAGGAGGAACTGCCACAGGGTGATGGCGCTGTCCATAGCAATGAGCTGAAGAAGCACAGATAAGACACAAGATTACACAAACAACCAACGTGTTCACAGCACACATGTCAAACATGGTTCCAATTGCTCTCACTATGGTCATTCATCTCATCCCCACGGCAGTCCTACATGACAGATGCTATCAGAAAAAAACTTCCTTTTCTTTATCTAGAAATGAGATCTCAGTGGATCAGAATAGGACTTGAAAACAAATGAAATGAAAAACTAACTGACTCCAAAGAGTTAACTAAAATATCTAAGGCCACATAAGAAACTGGTGGAGCAGAGATTTACCCAGGCAATCTGGATTCAGAGTCCAAACTCAAGCTTGCCACACTGCTTAAGAAAAGTTTTGCTGAGAGAAAACTAGCTCCATAAATTATGGGAGCCAATTGATAATTTCCAGTCATTCAAGTATCACTGCTGTTAACTTTTATCTTAAAAACTCACTGCCATAGGGCCTCCCCGGTTGTGCAGAAGGTTGAACGCAGTGCTATGAAGCTGTTCCGCAGCCTCTGCAGCACAGGTTTGATTCCCAGCTGGCCAGGGAGATACCTACATGGCACGGCAGACCTCTCCTGTCTCAGCAGTGCTTTCGGTCCATCTGCCTGTTCTACTCCCTGCTCTGTCTCTGGTAAATCCTCTCACTCTCCCGCCTCTCTGACCTATACCCCAGCTCTTGTATAAATAAATGAATCTTAAAAAAATCCTTCATAAAAAAAACCAACTCTGCCATATTCTCCAAGGAGACCACCACTACAGCATCTAAATCGGCCCAAGCTGGTTTATTTGCTAGGATGTATATGTGTGTCTCAGAGTTATCCAGAGGTGTAGGGAATAATCTACTTTGCTCCACTGGTATTTCTCCTCCAGATAATTTCCATTATCATAAATATAATTTACATATGAATTGGCAGCACTGAAAATTCAGCAAAATGTTCTCTAATTTACAAGTTCTGTCACCATTCTGTCCACAGGGATTCCATCTGCATAGATCTTCCTGTATCTGATTAGCAACCTTAATTTGATTATCAAGACATAAACTGAAAAATCTTTCAAAATCTCAAGTTTTAGGATCTCTGTTTAGGTTAAAGTTTCTCAACTTGTTCTTTTGATAATTTAGGACCAAATAATTCTTTATTCCTGGAGGCTGTCCCCTAAACATTGCAGTAATTTAGCAACATCCCTAGCCTCTTCCCACTAGATGCCAGTAGCGCCACCCCCGCCAATCAAAAACATCTCCAGCCATTGCCAAATGTTCTCCCAGGAGACAAATCATCCCAGATCATAACCACTGGTTTAGGCAAAATGCTCTTGCCAAGTTATTTGCCTCATAAAACTTCAAAACACCCCATTTATTAGGAAGGATTCTTTAGGGGAGAAACTCTGGGCAAACACTCGTAAGTACCAAGAAGCCAATTAAAGAATTTTACACATAACAAACTTCCTCTTTATCTGAGAATGAGATCTCTTGTCCATGAGAATAGGACTTGAAAACAAATTACATCAATTCCATTAAAATACTACAAAAATAGGTACATTAGACCGTATCAAAAATTTAAAACGTGTGCTGCAAACAATACTATTGAGTGAGAAAACAATAATTAGAAGAAAAATATTTTCAAGTCATAATGGGCTTCTATCAAAATTATATAAAGAACTTAGTTAAAAATTAGGAAAAGCGGTGCATCCCTAGTGGCGCAAAGGGTTAAGCACCGCACTGTGAAGCAATCGGCAGTCTCTGCAGCTCGAGTTTGATCCCCAGAGTTCATCCCCAGCCAGCCAGGGAGCAACCCACATGGCCAAGCAGACCTCTCCTGTCTCCCTGCTGCTTCCCCCAGCAGTGTATCAGTGTATCTCAGTCAGCCTGCCTGTTGTGTTCCCCACTCTGTCTCTGCTGAATACTCTCACCACCCCCCCACCCCCACCACCCTGCATCTCTGGCCTGTACTCCAGCTCTTGTATACATAAAATAAATAAATCTTTTAAAAAAATTAGGAAAAGGATTTAAAAGTTATTTCTCCGAAGATACACAAATGGCCAATAAGCACATGAACTAATGCTCAACATCATTAACTGTTACGGAATGAAAATCAAAACCGCATTAAAATACAACTTCAGGGCCTCCCTGATGGCGCAAGGTGTTAAGACACAACCTATGAAGCTATTCACAGCCACTGCAGCATGCGTTCAATCCTTGGCCGGCCAGGGAGCATCCCACATCTTCTGACTCGCCAGCTGCTCCCCTCAGCAGTGTATCTCAGTCAGTCTGCCTGTTCCGTTCCCCACTCTATCTCTGGTGAATCCTCTCACCACCCCCCCCCCACATCTCTGGCCTGTACCCCAGTTCTTGTATGCATAAGTAAATAAATCTTTTTAAAAAATTAAAAAAATTATAAATAAAAAAAAATACAACTTCACACCGCCTAAGATGGCTATAATAAAAAAGACAATCACTAGTGTTGGCTTAGGATGTTGAAAATTGAAACCTTCACACCCTGCTGGTGGGAATGTAAAATGACACAGCCACTTTGGACAACAGTTTGCCAGTTCCTCAAAATGCTAAACAGAGGGTTTTCATATGACCAATAATTCCACTCCAAGGTATAGAAGCCCGAGAAATGAAAACATGTCTGTACATCCTTATGTAAGAATGTTCACAGCAGCATTATTTATAAAATCCAAAAAGTAGAGACAACATAATGTCTATCAACTGATAAACAGAAAACCAAAATGTGACATGACCATACAGTGGACTATCATTCAGACAGGAAAAAAAGGAACAAAGTACCGATAGAACAGGGATGAGCCTGGGAAACATTATGCTACATGAAAGAAGCCGCACACAAAAGACCACATGCTGTATGACCCCATTTATAAGAAGTGTCCAGAGTGGGCTGATCCGTTATACAGGGAAAGTAGATCAGTGCTGGGGGGGGGGGGAGGAGGAAGGGGGGAGCGCCTGCTAACCAGGTGATGAAAATATTATAAAGTTAGATTGTGGTAGTGGTTTCACAACTCTTTGAATACGCTAAAAACCCTTAACTGAACTCTTTCAGTAAATTTTATGGTACATGAATTATACCTCAAGATAAAGACGTTAAAAACATACCAACCAGGCCTCTCTGGTGGTGCAAGGGGTTAAACACAGCACTGTGAAGCTATCCTCAGCCTCTGCAGCACAAGTTCAATTCCCAGCTGGCCAGGGAGCTCCCCACATGGCATAGCAGACCTTTCCTGTCTCGCCTGCTGCTCCCCTCAGCAGTGTATTTCAGTCAGTCTGCCTGTTCTGTTCCCCACTCTGTCTCTGGTGAATCCTCTCACCCCCTGTGCTCTCACCTGTACCCTAGTTCTTACATGTATTAAAAAACCTTAAAAAAAAACATACCAACCTAAACCTACAAACATTACAAAAGTCAGGCCTGATGAGCCCCATTCTAACACCAAATAACTCACAAAGGAGGGGTCCTTAAGGACCAACTATATCAGCTTCCAAACAGGGCAGGTATAAAGAGAAGCCACGGAAATTAGCTGGGTTTCTATCACTTTTTTGAGACACTCAAAATGTCCCCCAATAATCCTCACAGTTATCACTTGAAGGGGGTCATGTGAAGAGGAGTGGTCCAAAAGTAGAGAAGGGAAGCACTGGGGAGATGCCTCCCACAGAGTTAACAGAGAAGCCAGGAATCCTAGGCTCTCTCATCAGGTTACCTACTCTTCATTCTGGAAACCACTTCCTAGAAGGATAAAAGCATCCATATCACAATTGGTTGTAAAGTATTACATATTAGATACTAGTGATACTAATTTACAAATATCAAGGGTCACCTTAGCTCTAAATACAAAGCCCACTAGAAATCAGTTTCCCATAGCCCCATAGAACAGAATTAAAACCATCAATTTATAGTCATGAAGTATGGGGGAGGGGCTCCCTGTCATTTCTCTGAATTTATCAGACACCTTTCTTCTGATAATGACCTATTCATGGCAAGTTACCCTTTAACTACTATGTTTCCAGTGTAAATATTATGGTATGTGTTTAGGTGAGAGTTTCCATTGAAGAGAAGGAACAGTGAAAGGCAAAGGGAAAGGATCTACATACAAGTTTCTCCTTTCACCTGAGGGTTTAAAAAAAATCAAAGGATTTGAAAAATCAAATAATGTGATCATTATTTGACAATCTAAACCTGCTAAAATTACTCCCAAGGAAGTTTTAGTTTAACCAAACAACTCAATCTCCACATTTCCAGACATCAGATTGCTCAGAGGACAAGGGTGTGTATGTGAGGGCAAGCAAGAGAAAAACAGATGGGGGGGGGGGGGGACAGAGAACAAATAACACCAGAAGAGGTAGGGTGGGGGAGGGGAGGGGGAAAGACCTATAATCTCAAGACCATTACAAGCTTGGTGCCTCTGATTCCATTTGATTTTGGAAAAATTCCCCAAAGCCAACCTTAGAGTCTGTCTCGCTGTCATGTGGAGAACGCTCCAGCCCTAGAGACTGATGCCCACGCTACACATCCAAGAGGCAGAAACAACCGCTGATGTGTCCACCATCACACAAGTGCCACCCAGAGAGAAGGGGAGTTTTCCCAAAATATGGGTGTTCCCTGAGGTGGAGCAGGTTTGTCCTCAGCCTTGCTTATGGGAAAGCGGTGTGTGTGTGGCATCAGACACTGGTGAGCCGCTGGATGCTCAGGGCAGAGCCTGCGTAGGTGGCAAACCCCAAGGCAGCTTTAGCACATCCCAGTGCCTCTATGACAGGAGCTTGTGGCGTTTGGAAGGAAAATGGTACTGCGGTTTTGGGCTGAAGTACTGAAAAATAATTTTTATTTTTTAAAAACTAACAAAGACATAAAATAGTCATTTTCAATAAGTACTTTAAGAGAGTATTTTTATTCATTCAATTTTGATATCAGGTTCTTTGAAAAGTTGGTGAACTTCTGGGTTTATAGTTAAGTGGAAGATTTGTATCACGACTATTTTAGTTCCTAAAAGTGAGCTATTAATCTATTAATGTGAATTTCAATGATTTTCTCAGTCATAAAAGACAAGTGGGAAAGTTCTATAAGAGTTATTAAAAACTACTACAGTTATTAAAAAACAAAGGTGAAATGAAGAGCCAAAAAATATGTATCTTGTTACCTATCAGCCAAAAAAAAACTCCATTTTCTTTCTTGTGGAAAATCTCAAATTTCCTACATTCCAATTTCAGAAAAACTTTTATAAGTATAATGAGGGAGGGAAATACTTAACTGATCCAAATGAAGAATCTGATTTTTGAGACGGTAAATGCTAGAAAACATCACTGATTCTACCTTAACACTTCAAAAATGCTAAATTAATCCCTGTGCTAAACTGAAAGCGGGAGCAAGTTGAAATTACATACTAGGGAAAGGAAGTCTTTATTAAATGAGATCTTTTCCACCCTAAACATGTTTATAATACACACAGACCAGTTGCTGTGGTGACCGATAGTCCAACTATTTTTCAGAAACAGCAGCTAAGACTCAAGTTTAGAAATGTCTCCATTATGAGTGTGCTTAAATAGAACAAAACCAAATTCGCTGTCAAAAAGTAACCAGATGTATCTAACTGTCCAGCATCCTATACGAAGGGCATGATAAATAACAGTTTCGTTTCGATAAGCCTTAAGTGTAACGGGTGCCACTTAGGCAGTTTTCATGTTTAAAGAAAAATCAAAGGGGGGGGGGGACTGAATCATACCACATTTTAAGGAAAGCACCGACGGCGCTAAATACTGAAGCAACAAGTTTTCCATGCGGCAGGGTGGCGAGTGGGTGCAGGAAAAGGGGGGAGAGGCTCGGATCCAGCAGCCAGAGATGGGGGAAAGAGTCTGAGGCGGAATGAAACCCTAGTGTCTTTATTTAAATCCCCTAAACTTCAATAATACCTCTTATTTTCTGCTCAGGCCGGTTTAATATTCCGCCCCAAAAGATGCTTCCAGTGGGTCCTCCTAGGGATGAAGCCGCGACCGGCCGAGCCGCGGCTGCACATTAGGCGGAAAGGAAGGGGGAGGCCGGAGCCGGAGAGGAGAAAAAATGAAACTCGACACCGGATGAAGCGCGAGCGCGGGGAGAGGAAGACGCGCGGTGACCGTGTGCCCCGGGGGAGATCAAAGTTCAGGGGAAGAGCCGCAGCTCGCCCGGCCCCGGCGGCGCTGCATTACTGTACTTTCATTTTCCAACTTCCTGTCGCTTCAAAAGTCAGAACTGCTCCCCTCTGCCCCACCCCGATCCCCCCGAAACACCAAAACCTGCCGCCTCCGGCCCGAAGGCCCTCGCGGGACCCAACAGAGCGGGGTGCGAGGGGGCAGGGGGCTCCCGCGGGCACCCGGGCGGGCGCGCCGGGGGCGGGTCCCCGGGGAGGCGCGCGCCCGCCGCCCCCGCGGCCGCGCGCGCACTTCCTGTCGGGCCGCCGGCCCCTCGCCCCCGCCCGAGGGACCCCGACGGGGCGCGGGGGGTGGCCGCTCACCGAGGCCGCGCCGGGGCTCCCGGTGAGTGTCCGCCTCGAACGCGGTGCTCCTCTCCGCCCGCCGCCTCCTCACGCCGGGCTCTCGAGGGCGGCGCGCCGGCCGCTGCGACCCCCGCGGTGGAGCCGGAGAAGGCGGCGGCGGCCGAGCCGAGCCCGCGGGGCGCCCGCCGCCGCCCGCATCTCCCGCCGCGACTCCTCGCGTCCCGCCTTCCCGCCCCTGCACGGGGCGGCGACGACGGCGCGGGTCGTCGGGTCGTCGGGCCGCTACCCGCCGGGCGCGCGCTCGGGGCGTGCCTCGCCGGCCGGCCTGCCACTCGCCGCGCGGCCGCCGCCACTCTCGAGCCCCCCCGGCGGCGGCGGGGCCCCTCCCAGACGCCGCAGCCGCCTCGCGTCACTTCCGGTGGCGGGAAGGGCGGGGCGCCGCCCGCGGGGAGCGTAGCCCGAGCGCTGGAGCTGGGTGCGGAGGGTCGGGGCGCGGCCGCCCCGGGACCCCGCGTGGCCGTCCTCGGGCCCGCTGCTTGGCCTTGGCGGCGGCGCCCGACCGGAAGCCGCCGCCCCAAAGCTGCCACCTGCGTTGGGACCTCGGGCCGCCCGGGGCCCCCCTCTGCCCGAGTCCGAGGGACCCTTTGGGGTGGCCACACCGAGTGTGTCGGCTCCTCCTGGGCCCCCGTCCCGCCTCCCCCGGCTGAGTGGAGGGAGAGGCGACGCCGCGAGCCCGAGTTTTAGGTGTGCGCCCGCGGACGCACCCGTGTCGCGGGGGAACGCCGGCTTCGGGGTCACGCCGGGCGTCTAGCCCTCGCTCTGCCTCTCACTACCTCAGCAATCTTAGGCAATTTTCCTGACCTCCTGTAGTGCCAGGAAGGGCACAGAGCAGGTTGTCTAGGATTGGGCATACCAGGTAAAGGAGAGCCCTGGAGCCCTGGGTGGCTGTCTCAGGCTTTTGTTGAGCTTTCACATGTAGTGCAGTAACCAGGTACACGTACACGGCATGGCGGGGAGGCGGGCGGGGGCGGCCAGGAAGCTGGCAGGCCTCCAGGCCCCCAGCAAGTCTTCACTCTGGGTTTCTCTGGCTTCTTTCTCGAACTCTTCTCTCCAGTTCCCTCCTCTGCGTCTGCTTCTCGGTGGTGACTATCTGCTGCTGTGGCCCACAGAAGTAAAGGACATAACTTAATAACAAAGTAACGAAATGCAGGTGCCCCCTCAGGCAGGGCAATCCTAATGGCAGGAGGACAGAAAAGCCTGAAAATCATTTACCCTACACCTCCCCAGACATTTTCATCTGTAAAATGAAGTGAAAGACCTGGTCTCGTAGGGTTGTGACAACAAAAGGAGATGAGGGGCAGAAATCACGGCTGAGTGTCTAGCCCATCGCTTATTGTTGAGTAAAATTATTCAGGAAACAAGTCACACTTGGTACAAGAGGCTAATAGAACAATTTAGCAGCAGAAAAGAAGGTCTCTAAGAAACGGAGTCTGCTGGACAAAACCTCCGAGAAATAGATTCGGTCTAACAGGAAACCAAAGAGGAGTGAGTGTCGGGGTGCCTGGTTGTTGCTGATCACTTACTAGCTGTGTCCGCAGGGAGCTGCTTAACCTCTTCGAACCTCAGTTTCCTCATGTAAAGATGAAAAATAATGGGCAGCATTGCATGAGATAAAGCCAATAATATGTTCAGAGACCCAGTAAATGGATGATATAATTTATTTTGGCGTGCCTCTCACCCCCCCTGTTGAATTCATGGTAAATTTAATTAAACTCGTTGAGTGAAATATGACCCTAGCATTTTTTTGTAGGCTTTGGGGAAAGAATCATCACTTCCTTTGATTTTCAACCTCCTCCACCATAATATAGAGTAATTCTAATACACAGAGAGAGGTGGTAGCTTTTCTAAAATAAAGAATATAAACATTTTCACTAAAACATGTTTTAAGGGGAACATGCACTATAAGTGGTTTTCCCTGCAACAATTTCCATTTTAGAAACCAAAAGGGAAAAAAAAATAAGGTAGGATGTTAATATACCCCTTGGACACATTTCTTTGTAGAAAGACTTTATTTTAAAGCCCCAAAATAAGAACAGGTAAGGACCCACCCTGCTCTGCCCAACCTAGGGGTCAACTTCTGACTCAGCTTCAGGATTTGTAGCTGTATCATCTCCCCTTTACATTGAGCTGACAGCGTTGTCAATGGCAGGGTATTTTTGGAAGAGCCTACCTTGGGAGTTCTTAAATTAGTCATAGCAAGTCTGTCTCCTTTTAAATTGACTTTTTTTGGGAACAGTACATGTTGACAGCAGAGAAACTAGCAAAGTGGATTTCAGATTAGTGATCTGGGGGGAGGGTGGTATTAATGTGCCTGATTTTCCCACTCAGGATTCTATAAATACAGAATATCTCCTTGGGTCCTCACATAACAGATGGTTCTGTTTTTGCAAACTCCATGGTAGTTATGTTGGTCACCACAAAGACTGCTGCTTTGTTATCTTCTTTGGCCATTTTCCCATCAGATAGGTGGATCCCCAGAGCTAGTGAGGATGATCTCAAAATCTGCAGGTTTTGTGTTTAAATGTTTTCTGCTTGACCTTCCCCAGGTTGTGTGTGTGTTTTGGTTTTTATTTTTAAATACAAAGCTGCATTTATTCATGTCCAAGTCATCATTTAGATCTGTGAGTGCAGTAATCAGGACCAGAGGAGAGGTGAATCAGAGCCTAAACAACAACAAAAACACTGGGACGTGCTTGCCCTCCTGAAATTAGATTTTTTTTTTAAACCATTACAGTTATTCCAGGGCCTCCCCGGTGGCGCAGCGGTTGAGCGCTGGGTTGCGAAGCTGCCCGCGGCCTCTGCAGCGCCGGTTCGATCCCCGGCAGCTCCCCAGCCACCGGAGGAGGGTCCCGCATGGCGCGCAGACCTCTCCTGCCGCCCGCTGCTCCCCTCAGCAGTGTACTTCGGTCCCTCTGCCTGCTCTGCTCCCCGCTCTGGCTCTGGTGAATTCTCTCACCCTCCTGCGCTTCTCACTGTACCCAGTGCTTGTATAAATAAATAAATAAATAAATAAAATCATAAAAATAAATAAATAAAAATTAAAAAAAAAAACATTACAGTTATTCCAGCCCTGCCACTCCTACACCCCTAATTTAATTACATCTCCTATCCCAATAACACCTAGTTATCATTTCTTCTCAAGGCAACTCCCCCTTCCCTCTCTTCTGTTTCACTGCCTCACCATTCCCCCCATACTAGTACCCCCTTTTCCTAAAGAACTCTTTCATTCTTGGACTCTGACAAGCCTGGAGCCATTTCCTTGTCTTTCAGGCAATGCCTTGCAGCACTGAAATAAAGAAGACGTAGCCCTTACATCAAAGGGAACACAAGCCCAGGAGGGACAGGAATGAAGAAAATTGCAGTAGGACTGAGATGAAAGAGTACAAATTGAGGATTTCTGGAATCTATTGTTTGGATCTTCCTAAACTCTAAGCTTGATCCTCCTGAGAAAATCTAACTTAAAACAACCTCTCTGCACCTCACTTTCAGCATCTTTGAAAATATGTTGAAGACCTATACTTTTCACTGCTAGATATAGTAAAAGGAAAAGATGGTCAATCAAACTACTTTGAGCCCTGGGTAAATTGTATATTGATTTGGCAGCTTTTGCAAACCCCACCACCCATCAAGCTTCTAAAATTCACCAAATATAAGCAGTGAAATGATAGTAAAAACTATCTTTATACCCAGACTATTATTCTGAACTAAGGAATTTCCTCCTCAATAATATAATCAGAGGGTATTCAAGGTTCAGAGAAAAGCACATGAAAAGGTTCTTGTTGCTTCCAGACTCTGAGGAAAGCTTGAGGCTTTGAGCCCTTGCTATAATCTTCACACAACACAGCCTTCCCCGGGGAGGACATGACAAGACTTGAGTTACTGCAGTTATGAGCCTGGGGCACAGCAAGGATCTGATTCACTTAATCACCTGTCTCTCTCTCTCTCTCTCTCTCCCTCTCTCTCACACACACACACACACACACACCCTCAGGAATAACATCTTGTAATTCTCATCTTTGGAATGTACACCCAGCCTACTACTTTCCTCTTCCATTAATATTTTTAATCAAAAATCATTCTGTTGATAAATGTACTTCAGGGGGCCTTATAAAAATGATTATGTGGGAGGCAGATCTTGCCTGTCTGTGTCTATGCAGGTGTCTTTTCCCTTTTTTTTCCTTTCCTTAATAAACTGGCTTTGTGCTGATGAAAAAAAATTAATATGTGAACTGATCGCTCTAATTGCTCTTCGGAGAAAAGGTAACTTAGTTGATACAACCTCATAAAATCCACCATGTTGTAACTGTATAACAGGATGGCTTGGCCAAGTCCTTGTAGGATACATATTGCTGTGGATTTTAAGCCAGAAAAAGTTGTTTCCTCTGGTGTATTTTATAACTAGAAAACATTTGTTTTTCAATTAAAATGAATTCAGGAGCCCCCAATGTATGATACCAGGCTGTCTGCAATAGAAGAAACTCAGAGGCTCTGTTCTCCGTCCTAGGAATTCTGACTTGTAGCAGTGACACACCCGCAGCAAGAGTTACTGCCCACAGCTTCCGTGTTTAAGATCCTCGACTCCTCTTTCGTTCTAGTTGACACCCA